TGTTCAACGCGAACACGAACTTCAACGCGAGGTCGTCATCACCGTCGCCAACAATCAGAACCTGCGCACACGACGACAAGGCGTAGTGCAACTTCAGTCACGAGAGACAAACGTCATACTACAGATGTCGAAGGTTTTAATAGCAGAAGGGCTCGGTTACAACCTACTGAGCGTCAGTCAACTGATGGCGAAGGGCATACACCTCGAAGCAGATAGCACCACTCTGGAGTTCAAGTTATACCACGGGAAGGGCGGTCTCTACATCGGGAAGGCGGTCCTAAAAAACAACGTCTTCGTCCTCGACTTCGTCCCAGATCTTGGCACCGCCGACAGCGACGGGATTGTCACTTTCACCTCCTGGACACATCCACCGGATCTCGACCCCGACTTCAGTCCAGAAGGCTTCTGGTACTCGCACACCATCCCTGAGGCAGAACGAACAAGAGCATTAGCAACAATTCAACACTCGGCAGCAGCAGAACCAACACCAGCAGCAGCAGAGACAACATCGGCAGCAGCAGAGACAACATCGGCAGCAGCAGAAACAACGGCAGCAGCAGCAGCAACATCGACACCCATCGCTGGTCCTTCAACTGCATCGGCTCCAATCGACGACACTCCACCGACTCCTGCGCAGCAGCTTAACCCAGCACCAGGAGAAGCACATCGAAGCGCAAACTTCACCGCAAGCTTCTACTCCAACTCCGACTTGTACCGTCGCTCACCCGGACATCGAGCTGGCGAAGACATCTGGCACGCACGAATAGGACATCCAAGCAACACGGTGTTAAACAACACAATCAGAGCAGGAGTACTCGACAAAGATTCACTGCTCCTAACCGATGGAAGTGAACTTCGACGAGCTCGTGGAACGTGCTTTACCTGCCCCGAAGCTGACTTACCACATCGGCTATTCGCTTCTCACCACAACCCCAGCGCACCAGCTTACGCACCACTTGAGAAAGTGTACAGCGACATCCTGTACAATCGCGAACCTGGACAAGGAGCATACAGCTACACCATCACGTTCATCGATGCCGCTACGCGTTACGTTTGGCACCTCAACCTTCCGAGCAAGGACATGGCTTTCGAGGCCTTCGTCGCTTGGCTCCCAGTAGCAGAACGAGAATCAGGCGTGAAACTAAAAAGCTTCCAGTCAGACGGAGGAGGAGAATACACCTCACAGAGGCTCAAGCAGTACTTGGCAGAAAGAGGAATCAAGAGGCTCATCTCTCTTCCCTACGCTCACCAGCAGCAAGGCATAGCAGAAAGGATGAACAGGACTCTCCAGAACAGCATGCGCAAGCTGCTACAAGGCATGCGACTGCCCAACCACCAGTGGCCCGAAGCAATGGACCACGCTGTCATGCTGCACAACTTGCTCTCGTCATCATCGCTCCCGAACAACGCATCACCGCATCTGCTGTGGACAGGAAAACAAGGCAGCACAAAAATGTTAAGAGTTTTCGGCTGCATGGTACAGTACCGACCCCCATCTGCACGAGCCGGCCGATTTTCCCAACGCGCACAGTGGGGGCTACACCTGGGCATCGAAAGAAATTACAACGCGTGGAAGATTTTCGACGTTCACTCCAAAGCAACAGTAGCAGCACGTGATGTCATTTTCTACGAACAACTCACCCTTCCGACGTATCTTGCCAACCTGGAAGAAGATCGGGACCCCACAGGTGGCTTCCGTGGTGACCGACACTTCGCCTCGTCGGCAGACGAAGCTGACTGGGACAAGCAGAACGTGGATGAAGCCTCGGAGGAAGCCGGACCTCTCCCTTACTGCTCCGTCAATGTCCCAATGGATGACGAAAATCCTCGCGAAAGTGCCAACGCCGATGTATTTTACCACTTCGCCGACAACGATTACGTTACACCTGCAGAAGTCAACACCAACGAAGCAGAACGCATAGGGCCCAACTTCATACCTGACCCAGAAGCAGGTGACGAAGCAGCTTATCCCGCGGACACAACTCTCCCCCGTTACACACAGAGTGGCCTCCAAATACTCGGCCTCGTCACCGCAGTCCACGGCACGGAGATTCCTAAGGAGCCTGCCACAGTTCAGCAGGCTCTGGGGGGGGAGCATAGGGAAAAATGGCGTGAAGCCATGGACAAGGAACTGAAAGCACTGGAGGAACGCAACACCTGGAAAGTCGTCCCTATCGGCGTGGCACGAAACAAGACAGTACTCACCGGAAAGTGGGTCTTCCGTGTGAAGACAAAGGCAGACGGCACCATCGACAAGTTTAAGGCGCGCTGGGTCGTACGCGGCTTCGACCAAGAGCACGGACGCGACTTCACCGAGACATTCGCCCCGGTCAGCCGACACACCTCACTACGAATTCTCCTCGCGATCGCCGCCATGAAGAAAAAAAAACTGCGGCAAATCGACGTCGCCAACGCATTCCTCTACGCACCTGCTGACGCCGAAATCTTCGTCGAACTCCCACACGGCTCCCACGGAGAACCTAACCAAGTCTGTCAGCTGCAAAAATCCCTGTACGGCATCAAACAAGCTCCAAGGCTGTGGCAGCAATATCTGCACGCAAGACTTATTCGCATTGGATTCCGCCAACTACCTCACGACCAGGGCATGTATCGGCTTACAAAGGGCACCGACTACATCCTACTGATCGTCTACGTGGACGATTTACTTTACATCGGCTCGACCAACAACGTCACCACCTGGTTCGAAGGGGAACTACAGAAGGATCTCACGCTCACAGTCTCGTCCACTGTCACGCAGTATCTCGGCCTCAACATCCAGGAAGAAGAAGACGCGATCTACCTCAACGCCGCAAAATACGCCGACACCATCGCCAAACGCTTTGCACTCACGCCGACCACCATCTCTACGCCATACCGCTACACGGCAGGAAATAACAAGGAAGGATCCGCTCCACTAAAGCCCGCCGGCATACGCGACTACCAGAGAAAGCTGGGATGCCTCCTCTTCGCAGCTGTCACTTGCCGTCCGGACCTATCGTACTCCGCAAGTCAGCTCGCGACCTACCTCAAGAAACCTGAAGCAGAACACATGGCGGAACTCAACCGTGCTCTCCACTACCTCGTCAGCACTTCAACCGTCGGTCTAACCTACCACAAGAACGGGACTACGACACCTAAACTAATCGGCTACGTCGACGCCGATCACGCCGGCGACTCCGACAACAGACGCTCACGCACCGGCTACATCTATCGCCTCGAGCCTATCGGACCCATCTCCTGGCAGTCGAGCAAGCAGGAATTAATCGCTCTCTCTTCAGCTGAAGCTGAATATATCGCACCCTGCTCAGCCACCAAGGAAGGACTGTACCTTCGCGAACTTCTGGAGGAGGCGAAGCTGGCTCAGTTACCCAGCTTCTCCTTGTACTGCGACAACCAGTCGGCAATTCGCATAGCCAACAAAAACGGATTCGCGAACAGGACGAAACATATCGCCCTGCGATATTTCTTCGTAAAGGACGAGATCGAGAAGGGGAGACTTGAGCTGTCTTACAGTCCCACGTCCGAGATGGCAGATGATTACTTGACCAAGAAGCTCGGGAAGCAGAAGTTCGAGTACTGCATGCTGCTGACTGGACAAAGCCACGTCACCAGCAGCGACACTCCAGGAGCGAAGGGGAGTGTTGGAAACAATTGATTTAGCGCCTCTGTCGTGTCGAAACACCAAGTCAGAAGCGAAGCGAAACATATCGAAGCATTAGCGAGTCAACCCTCGGAGGTTGAACAACTGCTGGAGGTTATGCGAAAGTCAAAGGTCAGCGACTTTTGACCTGACAAATACAGCGCGACAGCGATGACAAACAACTGACTCGCTATTGAGCAGTTGCCCGAGTCGTCACTGTATCGAACCGCAACAGCAACAGCAAAACGGTTATTAACTGTATCTCTTCGTATTCCTTGTACTCTTATAAAAGCTTGTATCCCTTTGTTTTAATTAAGCTACTTTGCCCTCACATACTAGCGCAATGTGGTTCACAAAGTTCTAATTTAAACGTTTTCGCTATTACATTGTCCTACTCAGAATGTAGTCCTGCAAAGATCCTAAGGGCTTTTCTCAGCCCAACACATACGATGGGGACAACACTGCTGTGTAGGGTCACAGTGCCGGTCAATGATCTCATGAAGATGTTGGGGATAACCAGGTCTGGTTGGGTAAGTGCAAGGTTGGGTTGTGCTAATACATGCATTAATCAGAATAGAGGTGGGGGGCGGGGGGAACATGGAACGTGTGGTTATTTGAGTATGTTGATGCTCAGCGAAATGAACCTTCCGGCGGATCAATGTGGTATTATATTATAAGAAACAAGCTGCTAAGTACATGAAGCTGTTTAACGGATTGGTGGTTGAAATTAATTTCGAGGACAAACCTATAACTTTACACGACTTTACGCGGCACCGCCATCTTCTTTTCCACCAATCAGCTGTTGGCATATTTTTCACAGAGGACTGGCTGACCCTTCAAGTGCTGAAACTCACCACAAAGAGCAGATTCTTTCGACAGATGCTGCTGCACCAGCTGCATGATTTGATGTGTGGAGCAGCAAACATTGCTGTCAACTGGTTTTCAACCAGTACGAATGAAGCGCATTTGTCTTGGTTATCATCCATTGTCGTTTTCAGTCTGCCCACAAAACCTGCTCTGCAGCAAAGAGCCAAGTAAATTACTAGCGCAGACAATTCGTGCATCCACTACCATGCGACACGTACAGTCTCTGCCCCTCCCCAATTTCTCTGTTCAGTATTGTAGCTCTACCTGTCCGTATTCAGACCTGCATTGCTAATTCAGTGAGCCGAGAACATAAGTAATACTGGTGTACACACCAGGACGGGCAGATCCTGAAACTGATTTTCTCGACCGCAAAAACATCGCCGGAAATGTACAGTTGTGGCAGCAATGCACCTGAGCTGGCATCGGGGAACAGCCACAACGATCATTTCGTTCCACTCACCATTTGAGGGTGAGGAAGCTGTAGGTCCAGCCAATGTGGTGTAGATCCATTACCATAGTCACCACGAAGCCGTGTGATTCCGGAATTTCTGGTTGGTTGATTTGCATTCTTTGCCTCGTGGCGCCTCTGGGATGGCCGGCTCGTTTCATGAACTTGCCGCGGGCTGCAAGGGAAGTACCCAACCCATGCAGTACGGGCAAAGCTTCGTGCCGACGTGGGTGGTGGAAGTTGGAAGATGAAAACGTGTCTGAATTTGAACCAATTCTCCAAACAACTTGTGAGATTCTCTACCACAACTTCCCAACTCTAATTTCCAGATTTTTCCTCCCTCCGCCCCGCAATCACAGGACTCTTCCCTGGGCTTGAATTCCGTCCTCCTCTTAGGGTTTCTGCTGTGGCTCGTAAGCTCAAGTAACGTATGGTCAAACCGTTGATCCAAATTTGTTTCCTTCGAGTGTATCTCTCTCTCTCGAAGTTGTATAGAAATGGAAGCTGATCTGGTAGCTGTTCGTTTTGAACTCGACGAGCTTCACTCTAAGATTACTTCCGCACTCCCGCCTTCGGACGCCGAAAACTCAAAAGCCAGTCGTCGCATGGCTATGCGATTGCTGGTTGGAGACATGGACTCGAACAACGGTACCTCCGCCCCTTTCCCAATGGCAGGAATGGGGGAGATGAAGAGGGGAAAGCCTCCCGTTAACAACGGCCGCGTTTCACCTAGAACCCCGGGGCAGGCACCTCCTCAGAAGAAGCCAGTCGGCGCACCAAAGAAGAAGGTAGTTAAGAAAGCGCTGCCTAAAGCCCCTGCTGGAGACCCGATGGAGGAGTTTTTCGCTATCATGGAGCAGTTTGTCGACGAGCCTGAGGAGATGGAATGCGTGAGGCTGGCAGAGGTTTCCCGCGCTAACAAGCCCGTCCGCATGCAGAAACCTCAGATGGGCGCTTGCTTGGACGGATTTCCGGCGGATCTCGGCTGGGGAAAGATGGAGAAGCAGATTCACAGTGGCCCGATGGCTCTCGGCCCTGCCAGCCCGAAAGTGATGCAGAAGACGCAAATACCGAGGGCGGCGAGTCGCGATTCCGAGAAGAGCCGTGTTCATTCGTCTCACGCGAGGACGCACTCGGTGGGTGGCGTGGGCGGCTTGAAGGATCTGAACTCGCTCTGGAACCCGGTCGCGTCGCCAGCTGTCATGGGTCAACAAATACAGCGTGCCAGCACCGTCAAGGAGGGCCACGAGATGCAATCATTGGTTGACGCGCTGAAGGCGGAAATCAAGGCTAAGGACAAGCTTCTTGAAGCTTCGGAGAAGGAGCAACAGATGCTGCAGGAGGAGTTAAAGCACGCGTGGCACAACAGTGACGAGCTTCAGCGTCAGTTGAACGACTCGGAGGCGCTCGTCTTGAAGTTACAGCACGAGAACGAAGTTCTGCGATCCGCGAAGCGTGTGTTGACGACGTCTCCCACTGACCTGTCGCGGAGGCTAGCTGCTACGGAGTCGCGCAACGTCGAGTTGGCGGAGAAATTGGCAACACGCGAGAAGGAACTCGAGATGACCAAGATCGCACTTCAGCAGGCGGCGCAAGAAAGGGATTCGCTCGCAGAGGAAATGGAGGCGGCACTTTCTAGCTGGGCGGTTGACAGCCCGGCAACTCCTGCCAGCGGCATTTCGTCTCGAACCTTCTCGCATTCGACGTCCACGTCATCTAACTCGCAAGACGAGGTACAGCAACTCGCGATGGCTCTCGACGGCGTGCAGAGGGAGCTTCGCGTGGTGCGGGGCGAGAGAGACGCGCTGATGGCTGCAGTGCGTCCCAGCGGGCGGGTGAATGTTAACAGCCCAGCTGGCCGATCTCTGCGAAAATCCTCGTCAGCTTTGTCCGTACCCCTGAGCCAGCAGCAGCAGCAACTTTCGGGGGCGGCTCAGTTCAACTACAACTCGTTCCGCCAGTCTGTCGACTCTAACCCCCGTGTTCACTTCGCGGAGCCAATCGCTTCACGTCTCCCTCTCGCCTCCTCCGCGCCTTGATGATTTCTCCTCTGGTTCAAGCTCGCCGGTCACTCGGTACTGTACATCTTTTCCCAGGAGCCTTACTCTTGGAGCTCGTCGTCGGTGCGCTATGTTTCGCGGCGCTGCTCACTTCTAGCGAGGCTGACATTGTCAGTCATACTTAGTGTTGTCCTTTCAGCTAGGCTGCTATTGCCGGCTGTCTCCGCTTTTGAGGGTCTGGTGTTGCCATAGTTACCCTCGTAGCCTCTGGGTCATAAGCCTCATGGCAGTGGCTGCTGCTTGTGTGCGTGACACTCCCTGTGAATTCTGATATGTTGCAGTACGTTGTGACACTCGAAATAATTGTTCCATTTTACATCAAACGTGATATTTGTCAGTGTGATAAACATGAGGTATCATAAATTAAGTTCGCTGGACGCCGTGACACCATAAAAATCGAACATAAGACTCTCCCTCCCAAGCGAAGAGATAACATACCATTCAATCCAATAGGAGACGACCCTGTCAACAGATGTTTGTGTGCGAGAGAGTTTCAAGACAAGAACGTCAAAACCTTATTTACGGTACGTGGAAACACACATCTGGTTGCTCTGGTAAGGCGGGCTCCTCACAGGTCGTCTCGAGCATACACAAAAGCTAGGTGAACTGTGCTTACAAGCCAGCAGCATAGAAGGCTCAAGTGTGGCGAAAAAAAACTAGAATAATTTAGTTCGTAGTAACCTAGTTGGCGGAAACTTTCACGTCCGCAGTGCGCGGTGAGAAGTGCACATGGCGACCCTTCTGCTGTCCCGCAGGAGGCGGCGATGCCTCCATGCCGAAGTTTCGCTGGAGCTCCATGGGTCCGCTACGACTAGACGCAGAGAAAGAAGTCGCACGGGAGTGAGTCGGGGGAGGGGTGAGCGAGCGATTGCGACTCCCGCTACTGTATTGGTTGCTCGTAGAGGGTCGCGGCTCCTGTCGCCTGGGCTGCCCAACAGCCAAGAGAAGCGAGTTTCGTTCCGCCTGAACGACTTGAAGCTCTCGCTGAGCCGCCTGGAGAGCGTTCGCGAGTTTCGCAGCTTCCTGCTTTTGGATTTCGCCAGCTGCAGCAGAGGGATCTGCGCTGGAAGGGGAAATTCGGGGGCTGTCAGCCGCCCAGCTTGCAAGTGCAGCCTCCATTTCGTCGGCGAGCGAATCCCTCTCCAGCTCAGCCTGCTGCAGTGCAGATTTCGTCCGCCCAAGCTCGTCTTCCCGCACGGCGACTTTGCCGGACAGTTCTGAGTTTTGCGCCTCCGACCGCTGAAGCGCACTTTCCGTCGCGGCGAGCTTGCGCGTAAGCTCCCCCAAAGCCCGCTCCATCTCCAAAATATGATTCCCCACCGCCATGTCCCCTTCGCTTCCGCCACGCCGCGGGGAGCGTTTGTTCGCCTGCGCGCGGAGGGAATCGATCTCCCGCTCCATCGCTGCGCCTGCCGTCTGCATGCCCTCCAGCTGGCGCTCCAAATCTGCGACGTGATCCCACGCGCTGCGAAGCTCCTCCTCCAACAATTTCCGCTCGCCTTCCGACGCTCCCAGAAGCTGGTCCTTGGCGCAAATCTCCGCCTTGAGCGCGTCGATGAGCGACTCGAGTTCGCGCTGCTGCGACGCCTCGAAAACTTCGGTCTCCCTTTGTTGCTCCCGCTGCTCCTGCTGTTCCCGCGGGTCCCGCGAGGTAGAGGAAATGATGCGGGCGGCTTTGGCAAATGAATCTGACCGCGCAAAAGAAACAGCTGCGGAGCGGCCAACGCTGGCACTACCCGACGCCGAAATACCAGCAGCAGCACCATTCGGTCCCGCCAACCGCGCTTCGTCGGCCGGCTCCACTTGGGTGACCCGGTCGCAGAACGAACGGGAGCGTTCGCGAGACACTGAAGGGTGCGACAACCGGCGGTTACCACTGGGTGTTGCCGCTACCGAGGTTTCGCGCATTGAGACGGAGGGGGAGGATTCGAGCATGTCTCCTACGCGGCTCGGCCGGCGCGCGTGGTGATGATTCTGCGATATTGACGCCGAGCGTTGATGTGACTGTAACGCAGGGTTCAACTCGAACGAGCCGGAGTGACTTGAACCAGTACCGCGGCCGGTGGCGCTAGAAGGTTGGTCGTAGGGAGTATTCGGAAAAACACCAGCGAAGCTCTTCTGACGCTGATGATGACGCCGCGTAACAGGGGCTTGCGCGGGTGGTGCGGGGACAGGAGATTCCTGAAAAGAAGGCTGGCGGGCAAACTCTTTATTTTGAGACTTTTGCCGAGTGATTGCTGGCTTGCCGCCCTTTGCGCCGCTTCCGCCGTTTGCGTCGCTCGGGCCCTCCCGGTTCCGCCTGGCGGCCTCCGAGGCGCGGAGATACTCCATTTCAGCAGGCTCTTCCACGAATTGCTCCATAATCGCGAAAAACTCATCCATCGGGTCATCCTGCGACGGCTTTTCGCACGCGGTGCTGCTGTTGCTGTCGATGCTGCTGCTGGATTCCAGAGACATGGCAATGGCTGCTTGTCGTTCGCACAAAACGCTGGAGGCGCGGAAAATGCTGCTCGCGGAAGGCCTGGCGGCGCGCGGCTTCCGCGCGACAACAGCGTGTTGCGCGGACCTGCTGCTCCGCGAGCCTTGCGCAGCTTCCGCCGCGGATGCGGGCTTGCTTGGACCTGCGGAGGACTCCCCGAGTGCATGATCCGCGGGTGCTGGCGCGCTAGTGACCGAAGATAGGCGGGAACTACCGACAGGTGGTCTGGTAACGCGCTTGACATGGGCGGGTATGTCGATATCGGGAACCAGCGCCTTGCCTTTTGCGGCGGCATTGAAGGCGGCATTCGCGGCGGCTGCAGCGGCGAGGGTTTTGGGATTCGACTCGACATCGCCGCCGACGAGAAGGCGGACGGCGAGCCGCCTGCCCAGGTTGGGCTTACCGGTTTCGGGAACACGGGGATCGCGGTTAGCGTTGCCCGAGGAGCTTGGAGGCATGGACGATGTTATCTTGGAGTAGAGCTCGTCCATTTCAAACTTAGCTGCTATGAGGTCCGCTTCCATGGCGAAAAGAAGGTAGAAGTCTGTCCGAGCTAATTCTCCTCGACAGAAGAAGAAGAAATGTAAGCTCGCTTCCTTGATCGTCGTCCGTAGTAAGATATCTACAGACCGACGTGAAAAGGAGACAGAATGTGGGGATGGAAATGATAGGACCAGTGGTGGAGTGGGCAGTGGGACCGAGGTAAGTGGGCAGTGGGACCGAGGTAAGTGGGCAGTGGGACCGAGGTAAGTGGGCAGTGGGATTCAGAGCAGATATAGAACTAGCAGTGGGACCTGTGCATGATCAGTATCCCAAGTGGAACAGAACGGAACGGAAAAATATAGTGGCAGGCTGATATTTCATTGGGTTGTGAAAACAGTTGAGAGGAGGGGAAGAGGAGAGGCGAGGCGAGTTGAGGCGATGAGGCGATAACTCACTGGCGCGTAGACACGCGCAAAGAAAACACGCTGGAAAAGAAGATGCAAGCTGTAAAATAGGCAATTAGATTCCCTTCCCGTTATGTTCGTTTGTTTTCGAGCTGGCATTCCGGTCCGCATCCCCGCATGTGTTGTTTGCACAAATAGTATGTGGGCCCAATGTTGCCTGTAAATTTGGGAACTGGGGAGGAGAAGGGGGGAAGTAAAGGGGAAGAAGCATGAGGAGGCGGAAGGAGGAGAGTGGTGAGGTGAGGGAGCAAGGGGGGAGGGAGGGAGGTTGGTTGGGGGGGGAGGGGACGGGGGGAGGGGAATGCGATGGGTCCTTTTCACCTTGCAGCATGCCATGCCATGCCACCCATGGCCAGGTGGACTCGCTGGAGGTGGCTAGATCTGCAAGATACGTTGTTGACCTTTTCTGGCAAAAACCGCGTGATTTCGAGTAAACCAGAACCTTGAACTCGTTTGGGACCTTGTCTTGCTTGACAAAGCAGTGGCTTGTGGAGATTCTTGTCTTGTCCTAGACCCCAACAAAGGTATTCTTTAGGGTCAGAATACATTAGAGGCGGGTGTGGGAACAGAGTGAAAAGCAGGAATATTCCTTGTTAGATTTCCAGGGCCACCCTTTTCACACTAACTTCCATGTATCAGCAATCCTCCAGAGTACACCTTGTAAAAAGGGTTTGTGTTCGATCTGAACAATAGAATTCTTGGTTTTACTGTTAAGGACACCGCCGTTTCGAGTCGCGCAAGCTAAACGGGCAGCATCGGGCAGTGCATCATTTAAAGATTCCCATACAGCAAAAACAGTAACTGTTGACTTCTTGAGGAGGGATGGTACTGAAATTACAATCCAGGAAATGCCATACACACGATGCTCAACCCCTGCGCGCGAATTTGCCCTGGACCGGATGGAAAGGCAACCTTGGGTTACACACGGGTGCAGACTTTCCATCTGGTCCAGGGCAAATTCGCGCGCAGGGGTTGAGCATCGTGTGTAGTCAAACGAGCATCGTGTACTGTATTTTTTCTTGTTCACGGATGACCTGCAAATAGCAACTGCCAAGGACTGTGCTGGTTCTAGCTTGGATGCTTTCGTCCATTTCAATACATTTTGGTCGCAACGTGGAAGGTCCTTGATGATTGACGTGATGATTCGTGTCGTGCTGAAGAAATTTGAGTGGTGGTGAGGAGGACGTGAGTGTCCAAAAGGCCCTTATTTCCATGAACGTAGATGTATAATACATCCAGTTTCATTCCCAGTAGATGCCCATAACCAAACCCCAACCCATCATTCCTCCCGGCCAAGCCCGCAACTCGGATAATGTCCTCCCCAGCCAAGCTGATCCATCCAGCAGCAGCAACCCCAAATCAGGCGTCCCCCCTCTCTCCCCACCGCTGATCCGACATTTGGTTATGCTGAGCTGGCAAAGAGAATTCCCGTGCTTTTAGGGGGATTACCAGTACAATACCAACGTGTTACTTGTCATACAGATTTCAGTGTATAAAGACTACAATTAGAAGGGAGAATATGTCAATGGTAACTTACATGGGGCAGTATAACGCGTACGGTAACGATTTCAACGCGTTTGGTAACTCGCTTAACGCGTTTGGTAACTCTCTTAACACGTTTGGTAACTCGCTTAACGCGTATGGTAACTATGCACTAGCAGCCCATCACGCGAATGGTAACTAGAAGAAACCCTCGCCCAAAATTACCCTGATTCTGGTTTTTCCCGCTCGCGTCAGACTAAATTGACGAATCTTGAAGCAGCAACCTCTGACACACTCTCCGAGATTCTGACACAGTTTTCCAAAATTCTGACACACTTCCCGAAATCCTGACACACTTTCCGATTTTCAAGCTAATTGCAAAACCGTAAGTGTTTCAAAAACAAAGTTTTATATAAAACTGATATTCTGGCGCTCCTTCCACAAACTGTTTGTACTTAATTCTATCGTGCAACCGGGGCAAACAAATCTATGCCCCTTTCAGATGGCAAATGAATTTGGGAGCATCAACCCTAAACTCCTTGCGACAAGGCGTATATGGTTCTTTTTTGAAAAATGAAACATGTAATTCTAAAGAGGTGTATCTTTTCCACATGAAAAAAAAATGGCCAACGTTGCAGTAATTACAAAACTTAAAAGCCTGATGCCCTTTCGCGGAAAGTTTTTTTTTTAAATCATTTTGCAATTTCGCAATCATGCTATCAAAAAATTATAATTTTTAAAACACACATTGTGTTTTTAAAATTGTGTATTGTGAAAGCGAAGCTGCTTGTACTGCACAATTGGCATCGTCGAAGCGCGCTAAACGCCCTTCTCCAACTACAAAAACCGTGGGTTGGAGCTCATTTCCCTCTACCCACGTTTCTCTATTTCAAACGGCTCACTCAACATCTCCGCTCACGTAGTCTTTCTCTCCTTCCAAGCTGGCTAGAACAAAATCGCTTCCTAGAGGCGAGTCACCCTCGACTTTACTTAGCGACATTTTTAACTTCAATCGATCAACGATGGCACCGACGACGACACTTAACAACGTGAACTCGTCCAACCCCGCTTCCGACTCCGACCGTAACACCCGCGATTTTGCGGGCGACCGCCGTAACAAGCGCCGGGCAGAAGATGGACCGCCCGCCCCGACTGCAGTGGACGTACTGCTGGGCGGGCTCGAGGTCAACAAAAGTGCCGACGCCCAGCAGCACCCTTCGGCCCCTGTGGCGCCAGTGGCGCCAGTGGCGCCTGTGGCACCTGCGGCGCAAGTGGCGACGGCAGCTGGCGCGGCACACGCACCTGACGCCGAGCACACGCCAGCACCCACGGCTGGACCGTCGCGTCAGCGCCAGAGGAGGCGGACTGTGGTCTCCTCGTCTGACGCGACGACCGCCCCTGCACTGACGCAGGCGTTGACCCCGGACCAGGTCAACGCGCTGCTATCCCTTCTACAGCAGCAGCCCGTCAGCGTTACAGCCGCGGAAACTGCACTACCCGCTGCATCTGCGTCGGCTAAAAAAGAAAACGCGAAAAAGGAAAAAGGCACGCGAGGAGCACGTACGAACCGGCATGACAACGACGCAGCGACAGCCGCTCCCCCTGCTCCGGCGGTCGACAACGACACCGACGACTCTGAAGATGAAGCTGGTGAGGCTCCAGTCAACACTGCTAATTTTATTGGCACGGAAAACCTCCCCCCCCTCCCTTCTTCTAACCTCACCTTTTCGGCGGCGACTTTCGTCAACGACTCCGTGCGAGAGCAAGCGGAGCTGCTGGAGGACTTGCGTGCGTACCTGCTGCACGCGGAATACAAGGCGCAGCGAGGCGACTCGGCGGGCGGACTCGAACTCATCTCACACGCGCTCAACCTCATCTCGGGGCGTTTCGAGGTGCTTCAAGTGGAGGACGCTTCCGACTTCCGCACGGCGAAACGCTTCAAACTATACCAGCAGAAGAGCCTGCTGACCTCTCGACCCTTCAAGCAGGTGGTCGCGGATATGGCTGCAATGGACCGCGCGGCAAGTGCATACGCTCGTGTCACCCGCGGCGCCAATGCCGTTCTTACCCAAGCGGGCCCCCCCGCCCACGGCCAATTGTCGTGGGTTTCGGGGCTCGTGCTTCCGCTGCGGCCAGCCGGGACATGTGGCAAGTGCCTGCCCTAGGAACGGGCATGGCGGCCAAGGACCCGCTCCGGTGGTGTAGGAGCGGGCCAAGGGATTAGGCGCCTTGGGCGCTAGGCACGGTGCACTCTTGAGTGCGGAAACCGTGGGCAGCCCTAGGGGTTTGCGATGGCAAGAGGCCAGCCCTAGTGAAGGGTAGTAATAGGCTTTGGGCCTAGGATAGGGAAGGGGAACAACAACCCCTCGGTCCCATGTATTTGGCCACCCGGTGGGGTGATGAATGCTAGGAAGCATTGCAATGTGTGTTGGTTGATTTAATAAAAAGTTCCTTGATTTAATATTTTGCAAAGAGCCTCTAGACACACAGAGGAGGTGCAGAGCATGAGAGAGAGAGAGGAAGAGAGAGAGAGAGAGAGAGAGAGAGAGAGAGAGAGAGAGCGAGAGAGAGAGAGAGAGAGAGAGAGAGAGAGAGAGAGAACAAGACAAAGCACGGTGGACACGCATGTCCATGGTTCAAAGCACCAGCCCACATGCACTAAAGGCATGCACAACCACGTCTTACCAAGTGGATGACAAGGCGAGCAAAAAAAAAAAAAAACACAAAAAAAGCGCGATGTGATGTATCGGAAAAAGGGCTAGCCACGGTGCTAGATGAGACAAAAAAAAAAAAAAAAAGAGGAGGGGGTCCAGAGAGTGACACCTACTTGCCTACCATGATCAGGGTGCCCATGGAGCAAAAAAAAAAAAAAAAAAAAAAAACCAAGAAGAAGAAGAAGAAGAAGAAGAAGAAGAAGCGTCGGCGCGCGCACGACATATTTGTTGTCCTTTCGATAGATAGGCAATCTCATTCACACCATTGATCAACGATTGCGCGTACATGCACACGCACATGCATGCGTCAAATGGAACTCCCAACCCTACCCCATTTGCCTCAATTACAGGAGCACGACAGTGCGAGGCGGTATGTTACGACGATCCGTATGAATTTGCCGTCACGGACAAAACCATTACACAAATGCGCGGTCGACTTCGTGCGACCTTTGCGTGGTGGAGCTCCTGGTGTCCCTGCAGCCTCGTCCTTTCCGTCATCGCCAGGGGTTATTGGCTACCATGGAGCCACGGCCCACCACAACCCTTCCACGATCGCAACCATGTCGGGGCAAACACGCATGCTACGTTCACGCGTACCGCTATCCAAGAACTCCTAGAGACTGGAGCAGCAGTCCAGATGCCCGCAACGGAGCTGACGTGTATAAGTCCACTCAATGTGGTCGAGCAAAAAGACAAATGCAGACTCATTCTTGATCTGCGGAAAGTCAACGCAAGCTTAATCGTCCCCAAGTTCAAGTACGAGGGGCTCAACCGCGTGGCGGACCTGGCACGCGTTGGGGATTGGATGTTCTCCATTGGCCTTAAATCCGGTTACCACCACATCGACATCCACCCATCATGCTGGAAGTTCCTCGGCTTCGAATTTGGGAGGCGCACGTACGCATTTCGTTCACTGCCATTTGGCCTCGCGACAGCTCCATTCGTCTTCACGCAGCTCATCAAGCAACTGGCTCGGCGCTGGCGAGAACAAGGCATCCGAGTCATCCCTTACGTGGACGACATCTTATTCCTCTGTCAGTCGAAAGACCATGCGCAAGCGATCTGCCAGCGTGTGATATTGGACCTTAAAGAGGCAGGACTCGTGATAAACGCGAAGAAATCACAGCTGTCACCATCGCAACGCCTACGATTTTTTGGTGTAGAGCTGGAAACCGATACCGGTCGATTCTCCATCGGTCCCGACCGACGAGCCTCACTACATGCAACCATCCAAAACCTCCTGAGCGCAAGCAAGGCATGCCGACCAGTCCCGGTCCGCCACGTGGCCAGAATCACAGGCATGCTCGCATCAATGGGGGTCGCACTTGGCGCGACCGCTCGCGCATTCAGCCACGCCATGTTACAAGTAATCAACGACGCACCGTCATGGAAAAGCAACGTGGTCATCCCCCCAGCCGCAGCAGAGGAGCTACACTTTTGGCTTGAGGAGTTCGACCGGTTCAACGGTGCACCTTTCCACGTCCGGAACAGCTACGATGCGGTAATTCATGTGGATGCCAGCTCTCATGGTTGGGGCGCCACTCTAACTACATTTCCGGGTGGCCTCGAAGAAGCGAGCGCAACCATGTCAGAGCCGCTACAGGCAACGTCCAGCACGCGGCGGGAGATCGAAGGCGTCCTTTGGGTGCTCCAAACGTACGCCAACAAGATCAAGCAAAAACACGTTCTCGTGCGGGTGGACAACCAGGGCATATTTTTCATCCTTCGCAAAGGCGGCTCTCACAGCTCTGACCTCACAATGGCTTGCAAAAGCATCATCCGAACATGCATGGGGCTCGGCACGCGCTTGATCATTGAATGGATCCCGCGAGAGCTCAACTCACATGCTGACGAGCTTTCAAAAATGGTCGACCACGACGACTACGCGTTGAAGAAGCCGTGGTTTCGCATCTTAGAACGTCGTTGGGGTCCGCATTCCATCGACCTCTTTGCAAACTCTCACAACACCCAACTCTCGCGCTTTTGCACCAAGATCCCCCACCCGGAAGCCATCGCAGTTGATGCGTTCTCGATCGCATGGACAGCCGAAAACAACTTCGCCTTCCCCCCACCCCAACTGGTCCCAACCGTCCTCCACCATGCACAACGCACCCATGCATCACTCACATTAATAGTCCCGCACTGGCCAGGCGCAAGTTGGTGGCCACTTTTGCAACCCTCCCTATGTACTTGGGCTCCACACATCCACGCGCACATCCCTCTCACACACGGAAGCCAATGCCTAGATATAGGGTCCCATTCTACTGCCTTCTCGGGCACGGGACTACCGCATAGCCCAATCATTGCACTGCGAGTGGTATTTGACTAATGCATATTGTCCACTCCTGTGTTCAGATTTGCTCCCAAAGTTACACGACCAACTGATCAAAATGCTCGCGCAGTCACGCGCCGATTCTACGATCCGGACATACGAACCATACTGGGCCAAGTTTCGAGCATTTTGCACAAAAGTGGATCTCTCCTTTCTTCCAGCTTCCGACATGACACTCGCACTATACCTGGTTCACGCAATCCGACGCAAAGCCACCCTGTCCGTAGTGCAGCTGACGTGCTCGGCAGTAAGCTTCGCCCATCGCATGACTGGGAACAAATGCCCAACAATCGGTCCGTTTACCACCCAAGTCCGCGACTGTGCAAAACGACACTGCCCCCGCCCTACTCGTCTGAAGGAACCCGTATCGATCCAACAAGTCCGCGACATGGCCGGGAGTTACCTGCAGTCTGACGACCCTGCGGAATTTCAGAAAAGGCTGATCCCCATCCTCATGTACTCAGGATTTCTGCGATACTCCGACCTAGTGGCCATACAATGGCAAGACATCCAATTCGACGAAGAGGTCATGTGGATCCTCATACCACACTCTAAGACCGATCAGGCCGGTCACGGAACATGGATACCCATTGCAGCAACGACAGACCCTTGTTGCCCAGTGCGCTGCACCCGACGCTTCATCCAACTCGCCAGCTATGGTCCTCAGTCAGAGGGACCGTTGATTCGTGTCTTCGGGCACGCTTCAAGCAGCAAAGGCCAAGCGAAGCCGCCTTCATACACTACAATTCGGAACTGGTGTAAGGAAGCTTTCGCACAAGTTGGTCTGGGAGAGCTGCAGCTCGGCACTCACTCTTTCCGAAAAGGCGCGGCCACAGTAGCAGCCAACACTGGAGTGCCAGACAGAGTCTTCAAACGGCTGGGCAGATGGCAAAGCGACACAGCTAAGGAAATGTACGTCACGCCATACGTCGAGCCTCTCATCACAGCATCCCGCAACCTGCAAGATCCGACGCAGGCGGTGTCTTCGGCGCAACACACAGAGGCGCTCGTACGCCATAGGAGGCCCCCACTGCCCATGTCTCAGAGACCCCAGTTGTAATGAGAACGATGCCAATTGATAAAAATAAGAAGCAAGCTTTCTCTAATTTTTAAAACACACATTGTGTTTTTTAAAATTGTGTATTGTGAAAGCGAAGCTGCTTGTACTGCACAATTGGCATCGTCGAAGCGCGCTAAACGCCCTTCTCCAACTACAAAAACCGTGGGTTGGAGCTCATTTCCCTCCACCCACGTTTCTCTATTTCAAACGGCTCACTCAACATCCCCACCACCCACCCCAGCGTAGAACGCCTTGCTAATGCCACTTGGATAGGGTACATCTTAGCTAGTGATATTAGCATGCACTAGCTTGTGTTCAATCTCGATGCAAATGTTGTAATAAGCCAGTTGTAATGAGAACGATGCAGTTGTAATGAGAACGATGCCAATTGATAAAAATAAGAAAGCAAGCTTTCTCAATTATGATTTGAACCGTTTCTGTACGAGCCATATATATATATATATATATATATATATATATATAAACTTTGAAACTTCTTGGTCCGTGGTATTAGACTAAACAAGGTCCTTCAAAGTCGCGGCGGAACTTGTTCAAAAACGATAAAACTGTGCGTAAAGGCTTTCAAAATCGATAATTTCCTCAATTTCAGGATCATTTCGGCGGGAGTTTCATGTAGTTACCATTCGCGTGATGGGCTGCTAGTGTATAGTTACCATACGCGTTAAGCGAGTTACCAAACGTGTTAAGCGAGTTACCAAACGCGTTAAGCGAGTTACCAAACGCGTTGAAATCGTTACCGTTCGCGTTATACTGCCCCATGTAAGTTACCATTGACATTTTTTCCCAAATTAGAAACCTAATGACACCAGAATCATTTATTTGCCCAGCTGAAATAATCAACCCACCGAATACCACCGCAAGGTATCACAACTACATCTACACCCAATCACCTCATTACACCTCGTAAATCACCCCCGGATTAATCTCTCCACCAGCGGAAGCACATTCACACCCCATTCATCCGCCCATTTACCAGCAGCCCCTGTCGCCAGGGCACCAGACCTTAGCTTCTGAAGCAGAGTAACGGAGGAAGGAGCAGATGACGGAGATGTGGGTGATGTGGGAGGTGTGGATAAGGGGGCCGAGGAGGTAGAGGAAGCAAATGCAGGGGAATAGGTGGTGGCAGTGGCAGGGGAGTGGGCCTTGAGAGCGGCAGAACCTTCTGGGAAGCCGCAGAAGATGTCAATAAGTTGCGAGGCGAGCTCTGAAGAGTCTGAGAAGAGAAGACCATTGGAGCCGTCCTTGACTAGCTCGTGGATGCTGAGGGCGGGCGGAACAGGGGGGGGATGGGTGGGGGGAAGAAGATGGTGGGGGGAGGGTGAGTAGAGGAGACCGTTGGGTGCTGGCCTGACTAGCTCGTGAATGCTGAGAGAGGAAAGGGTTGGAGCTAAGGGTTTGGATTGGGGAAGATGGGGGAAAAGGGGAGAAAGAGGGGGTGAGGGCGAGCTCCGAGGAGTCTGAGAAGAGAAGGCCGTTGGCGCTGTCCTTGACTAGCTCGTGGATGCTACAGGTGGGGAAAACAAAACATTAAGGTGGTGGGTGGGAGGGGGAGGGGGGTATAAAGGCGAGCTCCGAGGAGTCTGAGAAGAGAAGACCGTCTTTGACTAGCTCGTGGATGCTACAGGCAAGCGGAAACTGTGGAGGGGAGGGGAGGAGAGGAATACGGGATGTTCGGCCCTTGGAATGTTCAGCCCTTGGAATGTTCGGCCCTTGGAATGTTCAGCCCTTGGAATGTTCAGCCCTTGGAATGTTCAGCCCTTGGAATGTTCAGCCCTTGGAATGTTCAGCCCTTGGAATGTTCAGCCCTTGGAATGTTCAGCCCTTGGAATGTTCATCCCTTGGAATGTTCAGCCCTTGGAATGTTCAGCCCTTTGAATGTTCGTACCAGGAATAGGAGATGGCGCACACGGGAAGGCCACACCAGAACATAGTCACCAATTTCATTTATTTCAGGGCACATCCAGGGCTGAGAGTTGTTGTGAGTTGTAACGGATTTCACATAGGAAATCGTCACAAGCACTCACCAGGAATGGAGATGGCGCACACGGGAAGGCCACATCCAAACATGTCCACCACTGTCATACGCAGATCCAAGCTCGAGGGGTTGTGAGTAGTAACATTGTTCCATCAAGGACTCACCAGGAATAAGAGATGGCGCACACGGGAAGGCCACATCCAAACATGTCCACCACTGTCATACGCAGATCCAAGCTCGAGGGGTTGTGAGTAGTAACATTGTTCCATCAAGGACTCACCAGGAATAAGAGATGGCGCACACGGGAAGGCCACATCCAAACATGTCCACCACTTTCATACGCAGATCCAAGCCTGAGCTAATCCAGGCCTAAGGGGTTGTGAGTAGTAACATTGTTCCATCAAGGACTCACCAGGAATAGGAAATGGCGCAGACGGGAAGGCCGCATCCAAACATGTCCACCACTTTCATAGGCAGATCCAAGCCTGATGACGAGGTATGGAGAGACACGCCCAGGTCCGCCGAGCCTAGCAGCCTCGGGTAGTCCTCCGGAGCAAGCCACGCGGTTCGGAAGGACACGTGGCGCAATCTCAGCCGTCGCATCTTGGCCTCGTAGTGCGATCGAAGGGCTCCCTTGCCTAGGGGTGGGAAGAGGGGGAAGAGGAGGAAAAGGGGGAAGAGAGATTAGAGAAAGGTGTGCTTAAAAATAAAGTACATATATACATATATATACCAATCAATGCTCAGCGGTAACATAAACGGCAAGTTGGGAATTTTTCTGAGGCGCCTCAAAAGTCGCCTCATGCTTTGCACGGTGCCACTAAAAGAGCTTACCTGTGACAATAAACGCCAGATTGGGAAACTTGGCTCCTGACTTCAACCTCCCTCCACTTGCTCCCACTCCGGCTGCTCCTGCCGCCGTCACCCCCCCTCCCCGCTCACCCTCTCCTTCCGCTTCTTTTCTTGACCCTGCACTAGAGAAATCTCCTCCCGCTCCTGCTGCCCCTGCTCCTGCTGCTGTTGCTGCCACTCCTGATTCTGGTATCCCATCGGTTCCTTTGGAATCAAGAAGAGGGACGTCAGCAGCACTCCGCTCCCCCTCGCCTCCTCCCTCTCCTCCAAACTCCCCCTCCCCCGCCATCGCTGCAACACGCCTGTCATACATGAGAGCAGCTTCTAACAACACGTCAAAGTCCTCATCCGCAGTCCTGTAGTGGGTGTGAGTGGAGGCAGGGGAGGGAGGTCGGCAAGGGTTGAAAAGAGTTAAATGGTTGTGAAAGCGCCCTCCCCCTCCCCCGCCATCGCTGCCACGCGCCTGTCATACACGAGAGCAGCTTCTAACAACACGTCAAAGTCCTCATCCGCAGTCCTGTAGTGGGTGTGGCGTGGTGGGGAGTGGTTGGAAAGGGTGAGAAGGTTCTCTTCCAGCGCTTGCTGCCACTTGCCTGTCATACATACATGAGAGCTGCTTCTAGCAACACATCAAAATCCTCATCCGCAGTCCTGGTGGGTGTGTTTGATGTGGTGGGGAAAGGTTGCAAGGAGTGGAAAGGTGGTGACGAGAAGGCCTCTTGCTGCCACTTGCCTGTCATACATGAGAGCTGCTTCTGGCAACACATCAAAATCCTCATCTGCAGTCCTGTAGAGTGTGTGTCACAGAATCTATTGGTAAGAACGATACATTCAGTTACGTGCTTGTTTGGTGTAGACGGATTGATGTCAGGTACTGTAGAGGGAATCATTAGATGTACTGTAGAGAGGGGGTTGGGTTCATGGGAGTGACGCGAATCTGGGGGACTCAGGGACCAGCGAGGCATGAAAAAGAAGAGCCCAAGGAACATTCAGGCCCTGGGTAATATGGATGACCAATCCTGAGGTTCAGCGACTGAAACTCGAGGCAGTCTTCTGGAAATCGGGCGACACGGGCTAGGAATCCAAATAGTCTAGGAAGGCACAACACAACTCGTTCTCTTGTTGGAAAGAGGGGTTGAAAAGAGTGGATAGGTTATTGTGAGAAGGGCCTCCCTGTGAAAAGGGCCTCCCTGTGAGAAGGGCCTCCCTGTGAAAAGGGCCTCCCTGTGAGAAGGGCCTCCCTGTGAGCCGCCTGTCATAAGCACGCCAAAGTCGTTGTCCTTTTTAGAATTCGTGTTTGATAAGTCGATTTTTGAGTCGACTCAAAAATCGACTTATCACATCACACAGTCCCTTTTTAAAATTCTAGAAGAAGTCCAGGTGTGCATGTGTGTGTGTGTGTGGGTCTATGTGGCAAAAGACGCAGGGGGGGTCCTGCGTCCTGCGTCTGGACGCAGCGTCCGGACGCAGGGACGCTGGACGCGCGTCCAGACGCAGGACGCACGGCAGAGTTTTTTTCGGGCTGACAGGATTTTTTTTTTCCCCGATCGCGAAGTTGACATTTGCGATTTCGACGCGAATGTCAATGTCGCGAAATTTCGACCCCCCAGACCCATTTCGACCATCAAAAACAGCCCACACACAATTCTCCTTCGTAAACCCTTGAGGGTTTAGCTACCTTTCGCTCCATAGCTATCTTTTTGCCTCACATGTGTGATACATCGTCCTCCCCCCCCTTTCCATGCCCTATAACGTGTTTTTTTGGCTGCCCGGGGTTTTTTTTTGCCCTGCCCGGGCCTGCGTCTTTTGCTGCGTCTCAAAGGCCCACATCATGCGTCCTGCTTCTAAGACGCTGCGTCTGGACGCACTCGTCTTAGACCCAGGACGCGTCTTTTGCCACTAAGGTGTGGGTGGGGGGGGGGGGGGAGGACTTTTGAGGTGCCTCAAAAGAGAGCCGCCTGTCATAAGCGGGGGCGGGAGGGGGGGAGGTGTAAGTGTAAGGGTGGAGGCATGGCGGCACAAGCGCATGCAAACAGTCCTGTGAGCCGCCTGTCATAAGCACGCCAAAGTCAAAGTCCTTTTTAGAATTCTAGAACAAGTTCTGGTGTGTGTGTGTGGGGGGGGGGAGGTGTAAGCGTAAGGGCAGGCAGAAGCAAAGGCGCAGGCAGAGTCAAAGACGCACACAGGCAAACAGGTGACGCACCAGCTGGAGCTGCTGACAACTAAAGCAGGACGATCCGGTCTGAGAGTCCACTGAGTGGTTCCTGATGCAGTGACAAGCAGTACAAAGTGGTAAGACGTGGTGAGGCATGGTGGGATGTGGTCGGAGCCGCGTGATGAGGTGTGATGCGATGGCAGGAACAGGATGTGTCATGCAAGGGGCAGGAACAGGAGGCGGGAAGAATAGCGAAGGCGGAGAGAAGGGAAGAGGGGGGGGGGGGGTATGTGTCATGCAAGGGGTGAACTATTAGAGGAAAAGAGGAACTTGCGAGTGAGCCATTGAAGGAGAAAAAGCGCTGCTAATCACTATCAGTAATGGCTCGAATATCCAATGAGGGGCCGATGCTTTGAGCGATTTAAAAAGGACCTCATTTTACGTAATGCTTGAAATGCATAAATAAGCAGTAAGGTAAGGGACTGAAGTGAAAGTGACTAGAATGAAAGTGACTGAAACGAAAGTGACAGGTGTGCACCTGGTGCGGGTGGGGAGAAACAGCTGTCGAGCAGTGATTGGTCGATGCGCCCCAGTACCTGTTGGGGCCAGGGGAGTGAGAGAAGCAGAGTGGGGGGAGGGGAAGGGCGGAATGGGAGTGGGGCAAGGGGAGTGGGACAGCCACCTCTCTCAACCCATGCGCACACCTCCCCAACCCATACACACCTCTCCCAACCCATGCGTACCTCTCCTAACCCATACACACCTCTCTCAACCCATGCGCACCTCTCTCAACCCATGCGCACCTCTCTCAACCCATGCGCACCCCTCTCGACCCATGCGCACCTCTCTCGACCCATGCGCACCTCTCTCATCTCTTCCAAGGAACTAGGTCGGAAGAAGGAAGGCGGGCGGTCGTACAGAACAGTGGCTCTGAGGGGCATTTGAAGGTGCAAGGAAGAGCGCAGATATAGAGGTATGAACAGTAGAGGTGGTTTGATCATACACATTGAAGAGAGACAGGTTGAGGTGTCTCAGAAGGCAGGAAGGACTTTTGAGGCGCCTCAAAAGAGATGGAGGTATGAACAGTAGAGGTGGTTTGGTCATACACATTGAAGGGAGACAGGTTGAGGTGTCTCAAAAGTCAGGAAGGCGGAGCGGAGACACACACTTGCGCTATTGCATAGCACAAATCATGCGTTCCCCTTCACCCCTCTATACCCCTCTCGGCCCCTCTAAAACACATCTACACCCCTCATCACTGCTCTCCACCTCACCGTATATCCCAGTTGTTCGCCAGTTCCTGCTGCATGGCTCGAGTCACACATATGTGTGCCGCTGCCTGGCGTGCTATGGTCGTCTCGTACCTGGGAGGGGAGGCATGTGGCAGGGGGCAAGGGGACAGACACAGATATACATGTGGATCACAAGGTGTGTGCTCTGTGTGTGCTCCTACTGCATGGCTCGAGTCACACATATATGTGTGCCGCTGCCTGGCGGGCAATGTTCGTCTCGTACCTGGGGGTGGGTAAGGGGCAGGGGGGCAGACGCAGCAGCAGGAGCAGCAGATATGTACATTACACATGGTGCGTGCTCTGTGCGTGCTCCTGGTGCATGGCTCGGGTCACACATATGTGCGCCGCTGCCTGGCGGGCTATGGTGGTCTCGTACCTGGAGGGGGAAGAAAGATGGGAGGCACGGGGAGGAAGACAGGGGGCAGGGGGCAGGGGCGGGGGGCAGGGGCGGGGGGCAGGGGGCAGCGGGCGAGGTGCGGACGCAGCAGATATGTACATCACACATGGTGCGTGCTCCTGCTGCATGGCTCGAGTCACACATATGTGCGCCGCTGCCTGGCGGGCTATGGTGGTCTCGTACCTGGTGGGAGGGGGGGGGGGGGCGCATAGGAGCGAATGCGAAGGGGCCAGACACAAAGAAGCAGATGCGGATAAGTACATGAGGGGTGGGCCTTGTTTTGAGTCGACTCAAAACAGGGCGGACACAAAGAGGCAGATACAGATAAGTACATGAGCGGCGGTGGCTCGAGTCACACATATGTGCGCTGCTGCCTGGCGGGCTATGGTCGTCTCGTACCTGGGGGGGGAGGGGAGGGGAAAGGAGACAGATGCAGGGGAGGAGCGGCATAGGGGGCAGAGGCAAGGGGGCACACGGAGATATGTAGAGGCTGCATGGCTCGAGTCACACATATGTGCGCTGCTGCCTGGCGGGCTATGGTGCTCTCGTACCTGGGGGGGGAGGGCAATGGACATGGGGCATGGGGCATGGGGCATGGGGCACGGGGCACGGGGCAGGGGTTTTGAGGATTCTCAAAAGTGTTCAGGGCCAAAGCGGAGCCGAAGTTGTGCCAGTCAATGACGGCATGACGCAACACACGCACACCTAAGTACGCACATGCAGCCGAGTATGCCTCTAGGGCATAGGAGTGAGTGACAGTACCCACCCTCCCTCCCCTTCCCCCACAAACCACCCCACCCCTTCGTCCCTCCCCCCACACACGATGCAACATGCACACACCCACGCCCACGCCCACTCCCACTCCCACGCCCATGCCCATGCCCCTAGCAAACAGCACGCACCACTTGTGGATCTTCACGAGGGGGTGAGCAGGGCCGAAGCGGAGGCCGAAAAGGGTGAAGCCGAAGTTGTGCCAGTCGATCACAAACGAGGCTCGCCGCACGAGCCCTGCGAAACGCACCACTGTGAAGGTGGGAATGGTGGGTGGGTTCTGAGGGGGGAGGGGGGGAAGGGCGGAGGGATGGGGAGAGAATAGGCTTTGAGAGGTGGAAGAGGGTGAAGCCAAAGTTGTGCCAGTCTATGACAAATGACGCCCGCCGCACGAGGCCAGCGAAACGGACCACTGTGAAGGTCGGAATGGTGGGGGGGTTCTGAGGAGGGAGGGAGGGGGTGAGGGATGTGGAGAAGATGGGCTTTGAGAGGTGTGGATGAGAGTGAATCCGAAGTTGTGCCAGTCGACGACGAACGATGCACGGCGCACGAGCCCAGCGAAGCGAACCACTGTGAAGGTCGGGATGGTGGGGGGGTTCTGAACGGGAGAGCGGGAGGAGGGGGGGGGGGAGGGGGGTTGGGGGGGAGGGGGAGGGGGGGAGGGGTTAAAAAGAGGAGAAAAGCGGGCGTGGGACAGCCCGAAGAGAGTGAAGCCGAAGATGTGCCAGTCAATGAAAAACGATGCTCGCCGCACTAGGCCAGCGAAACGAACCACTGTGAAGGTGGGGATGGTGGGTGGGTTCTGAGGGGGGAGGAAGGGTGCATTGGAAGAAAAGAGACAAAGTTGTGCCAGTCGATCACGAACAAGGCTCAGCGCACTAGCCCAGCGAAACGGACCACTGTGAAGGTGGGGATGGTGGGTGGGTTCTGAGGGGGGAGGAAGGGTGCATTGGAAGAAAAGAGACAAAGGTGTGCCAGTCGATCACGAACAAGGCTCAGCGCACTAGCCCAGCGTAACGGACCACTGTGAAGGTGGGGATGGTGGGGGGGTTCTGATCTGATGGGGAGAGCGGGGGAGGGGGGTGACGGGGGGAAGGGGAAGGGGGTGGGGAAGGGGTTCTGCGCACAAGGCCAGTGAAACGGACCACTGTGAAGGTCGGGTTGGTGGGGGGGATTTCTGGGGAAAAGTGGGAGGGGAGAGAAGGAGTGGAAGAAAAATCCAGGAGGAGGGAATTCCGGGGAGAGGGGGGAGAACGGGTGAGGGGAGGGGGGAAGAAAGGGGGCTTGAGACGTCTAAAGCCTCACCTGGAGGAGGTAGAAGTCGGGAGGCGGCGTGGCGATGCAGAGCACCCAGAGGAAGCAGAGCACTTGGGCGATGAGCTTGATGGGCAGCAGCAGCAGGTAGAGCGGGCGGGAGAGGCCACTTGGGAAGGACATGCCCTGGGGGGAAATTGAGAGGATAAGGAGGAGAACACGGGGGGAAATTGAGAGGATAAGGAGGAGAACATGGGGGGAGAGAAGGGGCGAGAGGCGGGGAGAAACGGGGGGCGAGAGGAGGGCGGAGAGGGAGGAAGCAGAGCACTTTGGCAATGCGAGAGGCCACTGGGGGAGGGCACCCTGGGGACATGGGGAGCGGAGGGGGGGGGAAGATGGGAAGCAAGGAATGAAAGCGGAAAGCAGCAACAGCAGCAGCAGCAGCAGCAGCCAACACTGAAAGGTGCACCTGGGACCCCCATTCCCCTCTTCTTCTCTTTCCCCCTGCCCCCCATCTCCCCCATCATTCCCCTCCCATCTCAGAGGCTCAGCCCTCTCCATTTCTATACCCGCTCTCCCTCCCCCTTCTCCCTTTCCTCCCCATTCCCCCCACCTCCCCACTCATTTCCTGCCATTGCCAGCCCCACGTCCCCCCCGTTCCGCCGCCTTCCTCACCAGCAGGCGCAGGTGAATACGCGGATGCTCCGCCACCGAGGGATGCACCTGCGACCCTGCGGAACGGGGTTTAGGGTTTTGAAAAAGGAAAGGCGGGGGGGTACAGAGGGGAGGGAGGGGGAGAGAGGGGGGAGGGAGTAGGGAGGGGGGAGGGAAGGGGGAAACGGGGGGGGAACAAATGGGGGGGAGAGGGGGAGGTTTGGAGTGTGGGGAGAAGAAGGGGATGGAATCTATCTTGACCAAACGCAGAGGAAACGGAAAAGGGGATAAGACAGCGGGGAGGAGGGACGGGACGGTGGGGGAGAGGGGGAGAAGAGAAAGAAGGGAAAGAAGGGGAGTGGGGGGAGGGGGAGGAGTAGGGGGAAACAGGAAGGGAGGCAGGAGAGAGCATGGGATGGGAGGAAAAGCAAACAGCAACATGTGGAAGAGAGGGGCGGAGCAGTAGAGGGAAGGGAAGAACGGAGCAGTAAGCAGGAAAATGGTAAGTATAGTATTGTGAGCGGAGAACGAGACCTTTTTTTCTAGAATCGCACATGGATACAGCAATGTCAGAAAACATTCACGCTTACTGAGGTTTTGTCGAATGATATGCACGCGTCATTCAGTCCAATTGAATATTCCCTTCTAATCAGAAAACCTAGTACTTCCATTCCGTACTCTCGATATAGACCAACCTGCGTAGCCAATAAGGTCGACTTCTAGTCCCGCCTGCACGTTCCAAAGCATCACGCACAAGAGGGAGCTTACCATAAGTAACGCGAATCCATTATACTCAATATAAGATACTCCGTGACATGTATGTGAGCAACGCATTTCGTAAACTTGGTAAGAATGGCGCCACGATAGGAGTCCATGTAAAGAATCTATTGGCTGCGGTACGGTAGCGCAGGATAAGGCATTTTCAACTCACTATTCTTAGATTCTCAGCACACTTAACGGCCTTCAGAGTGCATCACTATTCACATGAAGGTTAGTGTCAACTTATACGAAATCCGGCAAATGAATCCCGCGCGGTCTGAGAGCAGTTCGCCATGTAACAACTGAATGCGTTGACGAAACGAGCGAACGTCGCGTTTTGCGCACAGAAACGTAAAGCCACCTCGTAACCTATTGGCTAGCAATACGTATAGATCACGGCTGGCGATAACTGTCGCGAGAAGTTGGACTCACCTGATTGGCTAGCGACAGGGCGTGGTACTGCATGCGAGGGCTGCGACCAACATCGCCGACCACCACCACCGCCGCGCGACCGCGCCGTCGCCTCGTCATCCGGCAATGCCTCGGCTTCGGCAATCCCTAAGCTTAAAAAACTTGTAGGATCGGATCTAGGCGTGAAACCATGAAATGGAAACCATTAGGCCAAGTAAATTCAGTGGATGCAATAAAACAATTCAGCCGAATCGCGAAAGATGCAACAATTTCGACCAAAGATGCATGCGGGACTAAAAGAAGACTTGTGGACTAACATGTACTTTTGCCGAACCGAACACTGTTCGGTTCGGCGAACTATTTAGGTGAAAGTTTGTGTTCTCCGTTCGCCCTATGTGGCGAACGATTTTTTTTCAGCAGGCGAACACGAACATGTTCGAGACGAACATGTTCGTGTTCGCCCAGGGGAAAATTCACTATAGTCACACATGTCAGAAAACAGTTTTCAAGGTTCAGGATGATAGCAAAATGTGTGCAGGGTGTATATGTGTGCATGCAACGAACCCAATAGTACAACATCACATACTGTGAAGGGAAATGTCAAAGTCTAACAAATTCCTACACTAAGTGACTAAGGCGCTACTGCACTGCTACTACCAACAACATCATCCTCTCCACCAGCTGTGTCGTCAGCCTCCACACCCTCCTCCTCCTCCTCCTCGTCATCCTCCTCTGCCCCCTCGCCCTCAATGGCGAACTCTGGTGGTGCGACGCCTCTCGGTCGGCGGCCCTCGCCTATCCTCTGGCCATGGTGTGAACCGTACCATGATATGAGAATCATGACAGCTCGCGTCCTCTGAGAGGCCAGGCGGTGCCGCTTCCAGGAAATGAGGTTGCGACCAAGGGAGAACACCCGCTCACTCGAAGCGGACGTGGCAGGGATGGCGAGATAATCCCGGGCCATGCGCCTCAGCGTCTGCATGTTGGTGGCACTGCGCCAGTACTCTAGCGCTGTCACGTCGCACCGCACCCTCTCGGACAAGTACCTGCTAACCTCGTCGTCCTGCACCATCCCACCCGCCCCCGCATCCTGGCTCGCCGATAGACGCGCCGCAAGTCGTCGGCGACTAGGGAGAAACTGCGCGTCATCGTCGTCCTCCTCCTCGTCTCCCCCCTCCTCCTCCGCAACGGGGGCAAGTGGGGTCGGCCGTGGAGCAAGCTCTGCAGCCCGGGCCTGGTACTCGGCCACGCGGTCGCGCACCAGCTTGATCACCTCGCCAGACGCCGGACGCGGCCTCACCCTCCTGTCGGTCTCGGGATGCAACTTCTCCCAGTGCGCGTCGTCGAACCACGCCGCCTTCATGGAAGGGTCCAAGAAGGTGGCGATCCAGTACTCGTTGCTGGTGATGTAGGCGTACTTCTTCAAGTGGCTCAGCGCCGCCACGATCATCGGCTGCAGCGTCGGAGATGGCCCCTTGGCAAGGCGCGACTCCATGGCGTCGATCAGGCCGTTGTAGTACGGCACCACCATCGACACAGTCGGGTACGCCGCCCCCTCTGCTGCCTTGGAGACCTTGGCGAAGGGGCTTAGGAATGTCTTCACCGCCTGCAGGGTCTCCCAGTCTGCGTCTGTCAGGCGCAAACTCTCCACCTTCTTCTTGTCGGTCTTCGACAAGCCCTGTCGGGTAGAGGGAATGGTTTGGGGGGAGGTATGAGGGAAACTGTGATTATGGAGGAGGATTATGGCATCCGGCCGGCAACATACAAGCATGACCAACAGTATTGTGTAGACGTGCTAACACACCACACCACACCATGACATAACCACACACTACAACCCACACAAAACACAAGTGTTACCTGTGTCTGGGCGAAGAAGACAGTGATGGGGTTCTGCAGAACAGCCGCACGCTCGACCATGTCGTGGGTCGACCCCCAGCACATAGGACTGTCCTGCACCAGCTTCAACGCCGGCTTCGGCGTGGCAGGGTTGGCCTGCGAGTTCAACGTCCGCTATAGGCCCAAGAAAGACCCCGAGCGCTGTGGAGAGAAGCCAATCCACGACGCCATCTCTCTCAGTATCTTCAGCAACTTCCGTATGGAATCCACAGCCAGTGCTGCCTGCACTGCAAGGTTTATCACATGTGCCAAGCACCTGCGCACGGAACACAACATTGGGAAAAAGATAAGGGGAAGTTGGAGGACACATTATTAGAGTGAGCCACAAACCCATACCAGACCCCACACACCCTACAACTCGAACCGCACCGGCCCACCCCTCCATACAACTACAAATTGTCCATGCTGGAACGACACACCACAAAGGCAAACACACGCCCACACTCCCACACACCCAACCCACGCACACTCCCAGACTCACCGGAAGTGCATGCGCGAGTTGAGGAAGCACTGACCACCACCCTCCTCCGACATCCGCCTGAAGGCGGCAATGTTGCTAGAGGCGTTGTCTGTCGTGAAACCAAGACAACGCCCCTCCAACCCCCACTGCACAATTGTCTCCTCAACCACCTGCGCCATCTCCCTGCCCCCATGCCGCCCGAGCATCTCATGGAACTCAAGCACCATTGTGCGCAGCTGGAAGTTCTCGTCTATCCAGTGACCAGTCACCACTAGCCATGCCTTGTTGTTGGGTGCCGTCCACATGTCGATGGTGATCGACACCTTGCACCCCAACTCCCCCTCCTTCGCCAGCATCTCCGCAATGGCGGACTGGAGAGCTGCTGTTGCATAGACCACAGTGTCGCGGGATACCCGTCCACCGCGAGGGGATGAAGTTCTTCTGTGCGCAGTTGCGGTTTAGCAGGATCAATAGCTCCCGAAACTGGAGGAGGGTAGAGTAGAGACAACTGTGAATGGTGGATATCCGAATGGTGGACATGTGAATGGTGGACATGTGAATGGTGGACATGTGAATGATGGACATGTGAATGATGGACATGTGAATGGTGGACATGTGAATGGTGGACATGTGAATGATGGACATGTGAATGATGGACATGTGAATGGTGGACATGTGAATGGTGGACATGTGAATGGTGGACATTTGAATGGTGGATTACAATAGAAGCATGAAATAGTCAACCACATGCTGCCAAAACACCAGGCATGGGACACTCACGGCCTCGGACTCGACGATGCGGAAGGGGAGGTCGCAGGTGACCACCAGCTTGGCGATCGCCTGCCGTAGCTCCTCCGTGGACAGCTTGGTTGTCATGAACCGCTCCATCCCGCCTGACCCCTCAGCTCCACCAGACGCCGTCCCTTTCTTCTTTGCGAGATGCGGCCAAGACTTGGCATGCGGCCACCCATCGACGTAGCCATCCGGCACACCCTTGTAGCCCCCACGAGGAAACGTCTCCCCAGGCAAGTGAACGGACGGAGTGTGGTAACGGTGATGCCACACGTGCATGTGCGCTGTGTGGTAGCTCTCGAAGTGCCGCTCGCCGGGTGTTGTTGTGGATTGCTTCCACGAAATCCTGTCAGTGCAAATCTTGCACTGACGCTTCTCGTCTGCCCCTTTAGGCCCGAACATCTGTACTTGCCACCCCGGTTTTTTATTACCCTTGCTAGTCCCCTTACTACTCTCGGACCCTCCGTCCTCGTCTAGGAACTCCGGAGCGACCACACCCGCGCCCAAGGGCTTCCCAGTGAATGTGCAGGGATATGCTCGCTCCCTCAACTTGCTCGCCCTCTTCCTCCGCTTCGGCATCCTAATGGATGCCCGCTTTCTCCCCACCTTAACCCCCACGCTCCCTCCTCCTTCAGCCACATGCTGTGAGGCCGCCTCTGTCGCCGCCCCTTCACCACCCTCTCCCACCCCCTCCTCCACCTCCTCTGGCTCCAACCCATCCATCTCATGGTCCTCCTCATCATCCCCCCCTTTCCCACCGCCATGCGTCTCGGGATCCCACCCGGCCTCACTGTCATCCCCACTCCCCTCATCGTCCTCATCCTCCTCGCCCTCACCCTCCTCCTCCTCATCCTCCTCCCCACTGCCACTCTCCGGCTGCGTCTGCCCAGAAGGAGGGGGTCGCGGGCCTGAGTAACGGAACGAGTGACGGGACGTCGGCGCCGCTACGGAAAGAACCCCCCCGACGAAACAAGCGCCGGCTCCTGCAGGTCCATCCCCTACTCGCCCCTGCATAGGTCGTGGTGGAGAACCTGGTGTACCGCCCTGAGCGCTGCGTGCACCTCGTTCTACAGATCCATGTTGGCTGGAAGCCATAAATCAGCCCTCGGCCTTAAAACCCTAAAACCCCAAAGGAACGGTCGCAAGCCACGGATAGCACGGTCCTAATTGAACTCCTAGTTACGTGTGGCACGGAGAAATGCCGCCCCTACAACTAGGGAATTAGCCTCTACGAAATTGATCCTGTAGCTACTACGAACTAACCCCTCGCGATTTCTGAAATTACCCTTCACTACTTAGTTGAATTGTTCGTGTAATAATTAGGGAACGGTGTGTGGTGGCTCTTAGGAATGAAGCCTATGGTGGGTGAGGGAGGGAGGGCTAACCAACAAAGATGTGTTGAGTTTGAGCTTTGAAAATGAGCTCAAACTCAACTTGGCCGCGACCTAAATTTGGTCGCGGCCAAATTTGACGCGAACACTTTAGTGTTCGCGTCATCCACTGGACGAACACGAACATGTTCGTGTTCGTCCACACTCCACCAAATGGAGGTGGCGAACGGCGAACATGTTCGGGCGAACACCGAACATGTTCGCCTCGAACTATTTTTTCCAAAAAAAAAAATAGTTCGGTTCGCCTCGAATATGTTCGAGGCGAACCGAACAGGTGTTCGAGATCCTGCTCATGTCTACTGTAGGGCTTGTAAGATGTACAGACACAGACATCTGTTTCTTTATTACGGGTACGTTCAAACCATGTACCATGCTCACTATTTCACCAAACCATGCACCGCTGGCCCGGCTGAGTCGGCCTACGCTTCAGGACTAGCCCGAACCTCGATGCCAGCCTAGCACTAGCTAGCTCGCACGCACCACGCACAACAAGCACACTCACAAACACAAGGCACGCAAGGACAAGGAGCACGCCAGGCATCACAACACGGAAGTGTGGGGCAACCCTCGAGCGCGGCTATTGATGGGGTCGCCCGCAACGACGAAGATGACGACCACGGCGCGACACATTTCGGAGCGACGAATGCGGCCAGAAGCCAACCACGTGTCACGATTTCGGTGCCGATCGGCGAATCAGCACTGCCGTTGCCGATGCCGCTGAAGCCGCAACGTCCGCCTTTCTTCGATCCAAGCCAACGGGGTGGTCCGGCTGTTCAGGCGTGATTGTTCATGATGAATGTATTTTTCGACGCCAACTACGTCTCGGAGGACTCGGCGAAGATTTGATACGACGTGTCGCTGCTGCAAGGACGCGCCATGGACTGGTGGCGCGTCATCGTCACGAAGCCGGTATCACACTGAGCGCCGCTGCTTTGCCCGCCTTGACGACGTTTGGCGTGCTGAGTTTGGTGACGACGTCGAGCGCCCTCACTGGGCGGAGTTGCTTAGGTCGGGAGTTGCTATCTTTGACCTAGAATTTGATGTTATTATCTCTGCCATGTATGCCTTGTCCTTTAGTGCTGAGGGTGACTGTTACCGGTGTGTGCCGCCCGACTCAGGTATAGCCGCTGCTGCTCTAGGTGCTAGTGCGTCTGGTACTCCCCCTGGTCGTTGCGTCTGCTTTGGTGTCCGCGTCAGGTCAGGTAGCCGCCTCTTGCTCGTGTCGCCTTCTGTCGCACCAGACTCTTCTTTGGCACCACCGCTTGGGTCACCCCTCCCTGCCACGCCTTCGTGGCATGCACTCCCGTCTCCTTGTCTCTGGTCTCCCCAGGTCTCTGCCTCCCTTACCGCCCTCGCCTGCCCCGCCCTGTCTTCCTTGCGTCGAGGGGCGGCAGCGCGCCACTCCTCACTCCTCCTCGTTTCCCCCGACGACTCCTCCCTTGCAGACCCTCCACATGGACGTGTGGGGCCCAGCCCGCGTCAGTGGACAGGGCCGCAAGCGCTACTTTCTGCTGGTAGTTGACGACTACACACGGTACACCACAGTCTTCCCCTTGCGCAGCAAGGGTGGGGTCTCTGCTGTCTTGATCCCTTGGATCCGCACAGTCCGTCTTCAGCTGCGCGAGCGGTTCGGCCAGGACCTTCCTGTCCTGCGTCTGCACTCTGACAGAGGTGGTGAGTTCTCCTCCGACCTCTTGCGGGACTTTTGTCGTGGGGAGGGCATCACCCAGTCGTTCACGCTTCCGGACTCCCCTTAGCAAAATGGGATTGCTGAGCGCCGCATTGGCTTAGTCATGGAGGTCGCTCGTACCTCCATGATCCATGCGGCCGCTCCCCATTTTCTGTGGCCGTTTGCGGTCCGGTACGCTGCGCATCAGCTCAACCTCTGGCCCCGTGTCTCCTTGCCGGAGATCTCGCCCACACTGCGTTGGACGGGGAAGGTTGGCGATGCGTCGGTGTTCCGGGTCTGGGGTTTTCGTGCCTTTGTTCGCGATACGTCCGCGGACAAGCTCTCCGCCCGCGCCATTCCCTGCGTCTTCCTTGGCTTTGTCCCTGACGCGCCTGGCTGGCAGTTTTACCACCCCACCTCGCGCCGTGTCCTCCCGTCTCAGGACGTCACGTTCGACAAGTCGGTTCCCTTCTACCGTCTCTTCCCCTACCGCTCTGCCCCTCCCCCGCCCCCGTCGCTCTTCCTTGCTCCCGGTCCACCTCCGGTAGACCCCCTCCCACCCCAGGGTCCTGCTCCCTCGGGAGTGTCTCAGGTAGACCCTCTCCTTGGTACTGCGCCTGTTCAGGTAGCTATCGTCTCAGGTGCTACTCCAGGTGCTACGTCTGGGGGTGTTGCGTCTGGGGGTGCGGAGCCGGGGGGTGCGGGGTCTGAGGGTGCTTGGTCTAGGGGTGTTGAGTCGAAGGGTGCGGAGCCTGGGGGTGCTGAGTCGGAGCGTGCGGAGTCTGGGGGTGCTGAGCCTCGGGGTGCTGCTTCGTCTGGAGGTCCTGCTGGTGCTTCACCACGACTGTCCTCGCAGCAGCTGCGTGAGTGGCTTGTTCAGCGCGCACACCGTCGGAGTGGAGCTCCCGGAGCTGGCGAGCCTGGAGGCACTGGAGCTGGAGGTGCTGCTGTTAATACTGGAGCTGGAGACCCTACGGAGCCTGGAGCAGCTGGCGCCGGAGGCGCTCGAGCTGGTGTATCTGGAGTTGGAGGCACTAGCGCCGGAGGCGCTGGGGCTGTTGGAGCTGGAGCTGTTGACCCTGTAGCTGGAGGTGCTGGAGGCACTGTGCGGCCGCGCTCGTACTTTGTTCCCCTGCTTCAGCCGGTTCTTGGTGTCCCGTGTACTATTGGTCTTCCTCCTCCCTTCCTGTGTCCGCCGCCTGACCAGTCGCAGCCGGCGTTTTTAGCCAGCCTCCCCACTGCATGTTCCCTCTCCTTACACTAAGCAGTCCGGAGGTCTTACAGAGCGTCGTGAGCCTGCGTCTCGTCCTGTCTTGCCTGTTCAAACTGCTTGTCGCGCTCCTCGTTCGCGTCCTCCTCCTGTCCCAGGCATGCACACTTTGGCACTCCGTCCTTCCTCTGTTCCACTGCGTGTTCCTCTGTCTGCTCCTCCTGAGTCCTCTCTTCCTGAGGTCCCTGACCCTGAGTCTGACCGAGCGCGTGCTGCCAGTCCCATTGTCGCTCGTCTCCTTGCCACTGCTGTCACTGACCCGTCCTTTGAGTCTGCTGCTGCTTCTGGTCTCGTTGCTGAGCTGCTTGACTTTGCTGCTGCCTGCCGTCTCGACTACGCCTCTGCTCTAGTTGCTGAGTCTGTGCCTGCCAGTCCTCCGTCCGTCGGGGGTGAGTGTGCTCTTGGCACGGACGTCCTTGAGGACAGGCAGGAGGACTTTGAGTGTCTTGCAGCTGCTGTACCTCGCTTCGCTTCCTTGCTGCTTGCCCCTGCTCCAGACATCCCGACCCCGCGCTCTTACGCAGAGGCGATTACGAGTCCTTACTCCTCTTAGTGGCAGGCAGCTATCGATGCCGAGATGGCATCCTGGAAGTCCACAGGCACCTACGTCGACGAGGTTCCCCCACCTTGAGGGAACATTGTCGATGGCAAGTGGATTTTCAGGGTGAAGCGGCCGCCGGGTTCTCCCCCTGCCTTCAAGGCGTGTTACGTTGCTAGAGGCTTCAGCCAGCGACAGGGAGTTGACTACTTCCACACCTTCTCCCCCACCCCGAAGATGACTACTCTTCGGGTGTTGCTGCACGTAGCTGCTCAGCGTGACTATGAGTTACACTCCCTGGACTTCAGAACAGCCTTCCTGCAGGGCAGCCTGCACGAGGAGATCTGGCTGCGCCGACCACCTGGTTTCACTGGGACGTTTCCTGCAGGTACTCAGTGGAGCCTCCGCCGGCCAGTCTACGGTCTCCGCCAGGCGCCTCGCGAGTGGCACAACACACTGAGGACTACACTTGCGGCTCTTGGGCTTGCTCCTTCTACAGCAGACCCGTCGCTGTTTCTATGCACCGACACCTCGCTGCCGTCGTTCTACGTCCTACTGTACGTCGACGACCTCGTCTTTGCCACTGCTGACACTGAGGCACTGACCCTTGTGAAGTCCGAGCTGTAGAAGAGACACACCTGCACTGACCTGGGTGAACTGCGCAGCTATCTTGGCCTGCAGATCACCCGGGACAGAGCACGGCGCACCATCACACTGACTCAGTCCCACATGGTGCACCAGGTCCTTCAGCGCTTCGGCTTCCAGTACTCCTCGCCACAGCTCACTCCTATGTCTACCAGCCACTCGCTCTCGGCTCCACCTTCGGACGAGTCCGTAGAGCCGAGTGGTCCGTACCCAGAGCTTGTGGGTTGCCTCATGTACCTGATGACATGCACACGACCTGATCTCGCGTACCCTCTCAGCCTTCTGGCTCGCTACGTGACTCCCGGTAGGCACCGAAAGGTGCACTGGGATGCTGCGAAGAGGGTACTGCGTTACCTGTGCAGTACGTCGGGCATGGGGCTTGTGCTTGGAGGACAGGGTCCAGTTGTCCTCACTGGTCACGCAGACGCCTCCTGGGATGACGACTCAGCTACGCAGCGGTCGTCACAGGGTTACACCTTCAGCCTTGGGTCCGGCTCGGTTTCTTGGCGGTCTACCCGCTCGTCTTCAGTTCTCAGCTCCAGTTGTGAGGCTGAGATCTACGCCGGAGCCATGGCTGCTCAGGAGCTACGCTGGCTCACCTACTTGCTGACCGACTTGGGAGAGCAGCCTCGTTCTCCTCCAGTCCTGTACGTCGACAACAAGGCCATGATAGCCTTGTGTCAGGAGCACAGACTGGAACACAGAACGAAGCACATCGCTCTGCGATACTTCCTTGCTCGAGAGTTGCAGCAGCGTGGTCAGCTTCGTCTTGCGCACGTGGCCAACACTACTGATATCTTCACCAAGGCACTTCCGCCTGGTGATCATCAGCGCTTTGTTACTGTGTTAGGCCTTGTGCCTACTTTGCCTCACTTGCTTACTGCCAGACCCTGCTTGTACTGTGATCTATATATATACCTGCATGCTTTCACTTGCTAGGGTATGATCACTGTATTGTTTGTTCTCTTTATATTACTCTGCATGTGAACTGGCCTTGTGGCCCTTTGCTAGTGCTCGGACTGTGTGGTGACTTTGTGATCCACCCTGAGCTTGCTTTGCTTTGCTTCTTCTCTTGACTGGTCTTGTGACCATTGCTTGCTCTTGCTATCCCCCACTTCGCCTATGAGGTTGTGTCAAAACATATGTGTTTACATTTCTCTAGGCTGTAGTGGGTTTAGCCTTAGGGAGTACAGAATCTCTCTCGACATTCTACTTGTACCCTACCCATTCACCTAATGCATCATTTCTTGTCACTATTTTAACACTCTTGTCCAGGTGAATACTGTGGTTGTGGCGCGAAACTGATGGAGCCACGTTGAGGCTCGTACGGAGCAAAGGTGGGTTCCTGCTGATTTCCGCGCGCATAGGATGAACCGTCAAGGCTCATCGGTGTTGCTATGTTGTTGTTGTCGCTGTTGTTTGATTGCGCAGGAGCTGCTTGCTGGTGTTGCTCGTAGAAGGACATAAAGGAGAAGAATTTCTCCATCATACTTGGGTCGAAGCTTGCTGCTTGATTCCCGGGAGTTTCGGTCGACTCCGCAGCTGGTCTTGTTGCTGTGCATTCCTTTGTCTGTAGGCCAGAGGCTGGAGGTGGAGTAGGAGTCGTGCCGAGAGATCCGTTAGAGGAGCTCCTTTCCTTATGGGTTGCCATGTTTTGTGTTGTCGTAGAAATTTTGGAAATCGATCTTGCCCTGTTTGCTCTCATACCATGTTGGGCTGAGAAATAGCCCTTATTATCTTTCAAGGCTAAAATCTGGGTTGAAGTAGGAATGTTGTAGTTGCGGAAGCGTTTAATATCAGAGTTGCTGAACCACCTTGTACTAGTGTGTGAGAACAAGATAAGTTGATAATAGCAGAGAAATACAATGCTTTTATATGATTACAAAGGAATATGAAAAGTTCTTACTTTAAATGTTTTTGCTGTTGCGGTTCGATACAGTGCCGACTCGGGTAACTGCTCAGTATCGAGTCAGTTATGTGTCCTTGCTGTCGCACTGTATTTTTCGTCGAGTCAAAGGTCAGCGACCTTTGACCTTCGCGTAACCTCCAGCGGTTGCTTTTGTTGACTCGTGTTGCTTCACTGTAGTCTGCTTCGTTTCGTGTCGATACTTCAGAAGCGTTGAAGTTACTTGTTTCCAACAGCATGGACGGGCAATGTGGCGCATCGTTAGCTGTCAAAACATATTAAATCATGTTGCTGTCTTCCCTCCTTTTGGAGTCGCCCCCCAACCAGAATACTCAGGATCGTCCTCGAGATCATCATGCACCCACGACGCCTGCACGCTGCTCCCCCTGCTGCCTCAGAACGCTGCTGCTGCCTCAGAAGCCCGCTGCTGCTGCCTCCCCTCCCTTGGGAGTGGCACCCCAGCCAGCATGCTCAGGATCGTCCTCGGGGTCCTCATGCACCCACGACGCCTGCACACTCTCCAGGTTCGGCCGGGCCACCCCGAGCTGTAAAACATATTAGGACCTACGGCTGCCATACCTTCTGCTTCGGCTGCTGCTGCTACTTCTGCTTCAGAAGCCTCCCGCTGCTATTCATTTCCCTCCCTTGGGAGTGGCACCCCAGCCAGCATACTGCTGCTGCCCTGCTGCTCCCTCAGAAGCCTGGTGCTGCTGCCTTCCCTCCTTAAGGCGTCGCCCCCCAACCAGCATACTCAGGGTCGTCCTCGGGATCATCATGCACCCACGACGCCATCTGAGGCACGAGGGGCAGGCCTCAAAACCTCGCTGCTCCTGCCTCAGAAGCCTGTTGCTGCTGCCTTCCCTCCCTTGGGAGTCGCCCCCCAACCAGAATACCCAGGATCGTCCTCGGGATCATCATGCACCCACGATGCTTGCACGCTCTCCAGGTTCGGCCGGGCCACCTGTGCCCGACCTCTCACTCCTCCGGATCCCAGCCCTCCAGATGCCAGCACCCTTTGATTCGCTACACCTATTTTCCCCTGTACCTGCTCCCCCAGCTGCTGCTGCCCCTGCTGCTGCCCCTGCTGCCTCTGCTGCCTCTGCTGCTGCTGCCCCTGCTGCAGCTGCTGCTGCCCCTGCTGCTGCTGCTGCTGCTGGTGATCTCCCATCCGGCCAAGCCTAGCAGGCCGATGCTTGCGGGGGCTACTCTCATCATCAGATGCAGCAGGAGTGTGAGTTGCCGAACCTGCAGGAGTGTGAGCGGCCGAACCTACAGGGCTAGCTCCGGGAGAGAACCACGCGCTAAGGCCAGATGAATGCAGCAGGTGAGAAACTGCAGAGAAGGTTCCAGGAAGCTGCGAGAGGGGGTTGGGGAGGTAGGCTGGGGCTGCCTCCGCTGGTGAAGCAGGAATTGCTGCTGTTGCTCTGGCTGCTACTGCTGCTGCTGCTGCCGCTACTGCTCTGGCTGCTGACTCTGCTGTTGCTGTTGCCGTGGCCTTTGCAGCAGCAACACCGTTTGCACTGGCATCAGCAGCAGAAGCAGCAAAATTAGCAGCAGAATTAGCAGCAGAATTAACAGCAGAATTAGCAGCAGAATTAGCAGCAGAATTAGCAGCAGAATTAGCAGCAGAATTAGTAGCAGAATTAGCAGCAGAATTAGCAGCAGAATTAGTAGCAGAATCATCAGCAGCATTAGCAGAAGCAGAAGCAGTGGCCTGAGCCTGCGCCGCTCGTTTCAAGCGCAGGGCCTCGTTGTGCCTCGCCATCGCCTCTGCTGCTGCTTCCTTCCCACTCCCTCCCTTCACAGCCACCTCTCGAGGCAACTTGGGTACGCCTGTGTCCCCTCCTGCTGCTGCCCCTGCTGCTTCCGCTGCTGCGGCTGCTGCTGTTCCTCGTGCTGACAGCCCTCCTCCTCCTCCTCCTCCTCCTCCTCCTCCTCCTCGAGGGGACTTGGGTGCCGCTGTGTCCCCTCCGGCTGCCCATGGGGAGTTGAGGCTTTTGCTGAGAAGGCCTTGAATGGGAGGATTCCAAGCTACAATGTCCCTCCTGCCCGCCCCCCGAGGCGACTTGGGTACCCCTATACCCTCCGCTCCTCTGGTGGGAGATTTGATCCCGGTGGGAGATTTGGCACCTGTGGAAGATTTGATTCCGGTGGGGGAATTGACACTGGTGCGGTAGGATGTGGCAAGGCTGCCAGACCCATAGCTGGTACTCCTACCGATATTCTTGCTCATGTCCTTGCTCAAGCTATCTCCGTCCCTAATCCTATCCAAACTCCCACCAGTGACCGTACCGATGCTCCTGCCAACGCCTGTGCCTCTGCTGCTGCTGCTGCTGCTGCTGCCGCCACCGACTGCCACTCGCCGCACCTCATCTACCTTTCCCTTCCCTCCGTTGCCCTCTCCTCCTTCCCTTCCCACCCCTTCTTGCCCATTCCCTTTCCCATCCTTCTCCCTTCGACCTTCTTCCACTCCTCTTCTCCCTCCTCCATCCGTCTCTATTTCTGCTCCCCCTCCCTTCACCCCAGAAGCAATCGGCACTGCTCGTGGTGACAGCAAGCTTGCAAGCTCCCCTCCTCCTCTCCCCACAGCAGCAGCAGCCACAGAAACCCCAGTGCTCCCCCTTGGGATGGCAAACCGTGCTTTGCTGGTCCGCACACCCTCTTCTCGTCCCACCCCCTCTTTCCGTGCTCCCCTCTCTTGCCCTTCCTTTACCCCACCGCTCTTTTTCACTCTCTCTTCCTGTCCAAGTACATTGAACCTGACCTCTTTTGGCTGATCCTCAAAACCCGTCTGTCCATTTGCAATCAACCCAAAGTCAAAGTCGGAAAACGACTGGCATTGCCTGTGCCTGGGCTTGCCACTGCCGCCACCACCTGAAATTCCACCTGCTGACACCCCACCGCGTGAATCCCCACCAGCACCACCACTAGCAGCGGCAGCAGCAGCAGCAGCCAGATAACCCCCAGTGTTTGCCTTTGGAATGGCAAACTGTGCTTTGCTGGTCCTCACACCCTCTTCCCGTCCCACCCTGTCTTTCCGTGCTTCCCCCTCTAGGCCCGACTTTTCCCTGCCACCCGCCTTCCTCCTCTCGTCCTTTCCAGGTACACCGAACCTGGAATCTTGTGGCTGCGCCTCAAAATCTCTCTGTCCAGGTTCAATCAACCCAAAGTCAAAGTCAGAAAACGACTGGCATTGCCTGTGCCTGGACTTACCACTGCCCCCACCTCCTGAAATTTTACCTGCTGATACCCCATTACCTGAATTTTCACCGCCTGAAATTCCACCAGCAGCAGCAGCAGCGGCAGGAGCAGCAGGAGCAGCAGCGGCAGGAGCAGCAGGAGCAGCAGCGGCAGCTTTTGAAATCCCGTTTCTTCCCCTTGAGATGGGAACCCGTGTATTGCTGGCCCTCACACCCTCCCTCTCCTCCTCTCCAGGTGCATTGAACCTGGACTCTGGTCGAGACAGGGAGAGAGGGAACTTGGACCGGGAAAGCACCACAGGAGTAGCGATTGGAGCACACTCCTCATCCTCCTCCTCTTCCTCCTCCTCTTTCTCCATCTCCCCATTCTCCTCCCCACCCTCCTCCTCCACCTCCCCGTTCTTTCTCAGAGGCAAGTTCAACGGCAGGGGAAGAGGCACAGGCAAGCCCGAAGGAAAAAGGCCCAACGAGTTCCCTACAGGAGAGGGTATAGGAGGAGAGCCTATATGAGGAGAGCCTATGTGAGGAGAGGGTATAGGAGGAGTGGATAGAGGAGTGGCGATCGGAGTGAGCTCATCCCCATCATCCATATCATCATCACTCTCCTCATTGTCCTCCTCTCCTATCCCCCCTTCTCCCTTTTCCCTCTCTCCTTCCGCAACTTTTCTCTCCGGCGCCCCAAAAGCACCACCACCCTTGCTCTCCTCCTGTTCCAAGTAAAAAACGCTGACGTTTTCTTGCAGACCTTTCTGAACGAGTACTCCCCTCCTGCCTCCTCCTCCTCCTCCTCCTCCTCCTCCTCCTCCTCCTCCTCCTCCTCCTCCTCCTCCTCCTCCTCCTCCTCCTCCTCCTCCTCCTCCTCCACCCCCTCCATCAATGGCCCTCAGCTCCGAGAATCCAGAAAAGGACGAGAAACGCCGCCCCACTCTACTGCCCCAAGGAACCACCCTCGGCCTTTCCAAACCTTCACTGCTGACCCTAACCGTGCCTTGCCAAAGCCCTGAGGCTCGGTCCAAACCTTGGATCTCCACAACTCCATCGCCTTCATCTCCCGAGCCTCCGCCTGCCGGGCCTCCGTCTGCTGAGCCTCGGTCTGCCGAACCTGGGAGTAACGTGCCGAACTCGAAGCTGTTGTTATGATTCAAGTGGCTTGTGGCACGAGGTGCCTCGTTGTTAGCAGCAGCGGTAGTTGCAGGAGCAACAGAAGCAGCAGCAGAGTTAGCAGCAGTGTTACCAGCAGAAACCGCAGAAGTAGTCACAGCAGCAGCAGCAGCAGCAGCATCAGCAGCAGAAGCAGAATCAGCAGCAGCAGCATCAGCAGCAGAAGCAGAATCAGCAGCAAAAACGTCTCTTGTAGCAGCGCCTGTAATGGTGCTGATGTCTGTAGCAGCACCTGTAACAGCTCCAGAAAGAGAATCAAAAGCGAAGCTGCACCTGATGCCTCTTCGTTCCCCCCTTCCCCTTTCGTTTCCTTCCTTGCCCCACCTTCCTCCTTCCTCCTCTCCTCCCTCCTCTCTTCCCTCCTCTCTTCCCTCCTCTCTTCCCTTCTCTCTTCCCTTCTCTCTCACCGCACTGAACCAGCTCGAATTGCTGGTGACGCTAGTGCTGCTGCTGCTGCTGCTCTTGCTGCCCATACTACTGCCGCTGCTGTTAGAATTGCTGGTGCTGCTGCTGGTGCCGCCGGTGCTGCTGCTGCTGCTGCTGCCCATGGTGCTGCTGCTGCTGCTGCTGCTAGAATTGCTGCTGCTGGCGCTGCTGCTAGCATTGCTGGTGCCGCCAGTGTTGCGGTTGGTGCCGGCAGTGCTGCTGCTTAAGGAGGTGGTGATGAGGAGAAGGTTCTTAGGCTGACTGCCGGTGGTGTGTCGTCTGTTTACTTTTGCAAAAGTGGCAGCAGAAGCGGTAGAGGCAGCAGAAGCGGCAGAGGCAGCAGCAGCAGCAGCAGAAGCAGCAGCAGCAGAAAGAGGTGGGGTGGGGCTGCCAGTGGGGAAAATGGAGAGAGCACGAGCAGGCAACGAGTGGCTGGGATTCGACGCAGAGTCTGCGGTTGCAGATGGACGGTCAGATGCCCGTTGACGATCGTTCTCCGAGAAATCCTGGCCGTTGATGTTAGCAACGGGCTGTGCGTTGCTCGGGGTGTAACAACCGCTCTTGAGAGTGCAGTTACCACTGCTGCTGATGCTAGTGTGGTTACCAGCAGTACCAAAGCTAGCAGATGTGGAGGAGGAGGAGGAGGAGGAGGAGGAGGAGGAGGAGGAGGAGGAGGAGGAGGAGGAGGAGGAGGAGGAGGAGGAGGAGGAGGAGGAGGAGGAGGAGGAGGAGGAGGAGGAGGAGGAGGAGGAGGAGGAGGAGGAGGAGGAGGAGGAGGAGGAGGAGGAGGAGGAGAGAGCTGAAAGGGAGGAAGGGGAGAGGGTAACATTGAGACAGGCATCCGTGACAGATTGAGCACGCCTGTGCGTTCCCCTTCCCCTTCCCCTTCCCCTTCCCCTTCCTCTTCCCCTTCCCCTGCCACTGTCAATGCCACTGCCACGGCCCCTTCCGCTGCCAGTGTCACTGTCACTGGCCCTCCTCTTTGCTTCTCCCACTCCTCCCACTCCTCCCACTCCTCCCACTCCCCCCACTCCCCCCACTCCACACGCTACACCTGCGCCCTCTTCTCTCTCTCCCTTGCTGCTCTCTCCCCTTCCTACCCTCCCACTCTCTCCCCCTCCTCCCTCCTTACTTTCTCCCCCTCCTCCCATACGCGTTTCAGTATGTTCCTGTTCCAGATGGGATGTCCCATTAAAAGTCATGATCCGGGTGCTTACACTGCCACTATTGAGTGTGCTAATAACGGGACTGCTGCTGCTATCAGCCTTGGCAATGGGAGGGGATGGAGGGGAGAGAGCACCCGGTCGAAAGCAAGTGGAATGGGGAAGAGTGGAAAGGAGGGAGGAGTCGAGAGGGGAGGAGAGAGGGGAATCGAGAGGGGAGGCGAGAGGGGAAGAGAGAGGGGAGGAGGAGAGGCGAGATAAGGGGGAACTGTTAAGAGAGGAAGAGGTAGGGTAAGTGCTGAATGTCTTCTTGGAGAATGAAGGCTTGGGAATGTGAAGCGTTCGACGCCAATCCTTGCCCTTGCTTCTGCCACTGCTGCTAGAGGTGGTGGTGGTGCTGCTGCTGCTACTGCTGCTGCTGCTGCTGCTTCTGCTGCTGCTGCTGCTAGTGGTGGTGGTGCTGCTAGTGTTGCTAGTGTTTGCATTGTTAGTGCTGCTGCTTCTATCATTGCTACTCCCGCTCTCACTCAGCTGGTTCATATTCCTCTCGTCCTTCTCCCCTCTCACTCCCTCCGCTCTCACTCCCTCCTCCCTCTCTTCCTCCTCGCTATATGAGCACTCCTCCTCATACTCACCACTGTCAACCTTATCACTATCACCATCACTATCACCAAAGGATTTATCGAATCGTTTTGTCCCCTTTTTAAACAGCTTCCGTAGCATCCCTTTCTTCGGTTTCTCCTCACCACTGGAGTTACTTTTGACAATCCGCATCACCTTTTCGTCTCCCTCTCTCCTTCCACTCCTCCCTCCTTGCTCCTCCTCCATCCTCTCCTCCTTCCCCTCCCTGTTCCCCTTTCTCTCCTCCTCCTCCTTCTCTTCCGTTTCCTCCTTTCCCTCCTTTCCCTCCTTCCCACTGCCCCGCAATTTAAAAGGAAATCCACCCTTTTTTACCCCAGAGCTATCCGTAACAAGTGGCTTCCCATTCCTCATCTCTTCTCCTCCCACATCCTCCTCCCTCTCCTCTTCCTTTCGTCTAAGTGTTTTACTTACCAGCCCCAACCCCCGCCCCAAACCGCTCTTTTTGAACCTCGACTTGCTCGGTTGTGGCGACCCGTACCTTTCACTAGCATCTGATCCGCTATAAGCAGATTCACTACCGCTTTGTGGTGATCCTGGCATGTCAAAATCCATCTCTAGAAGCCATACAGGGGAAGATGAAGAGCGAGTGTGATAGACACGAGAAGGTATGCTTCCCTTAGTCTTACCCCTCTCCCCCTCTCCTCCCCTTCTCCTCCCTCCTCCTCCTCCTCCTCCTCCTCCTCCTCCTCCTCCTCCTCCTCCTCCTCCTCCTCCTCCTCCTCCTCCTCCTCCTCCTCCTCCTCCTAAAGCTCCTCCTCCTCCTTCTCGTCCCCCTCCTCCTCCCCCTCCTCCCTCCTCTCCCAAACCAGCAGCAGCCAATGCAGCAGCAGCAGCGCCAGGCAGCAAAGTCCCAACCGCCTTTCTAACCATCTCCTGCGCCCCGTGCGGTTCAGAAAGTGGGACGCAAACCACACTGCTGCCTGCCACGTGGCAATCCGCAGAGCCGCCACGTGTGCGATCCACTGACCCACGCAGTTGGCTTAGAAGCATCCCATCTTGCTGATTTTGATGAGCTGGCTGCTGAGGTGGCATGAAGGCAGCACTATGGGCGTCTTTCCAGGCTGCATGTGCACCGTTGATCATGGAGATCGTACGGCTGAGAGGTACGGGCTTCTCCCGAAAGGAAATGGAGCAAGGAAGGTCCACTGGGGGGAAGTGGGGGAAAGGGGGGAACCGGTGGGGGCGAAGGGGGAAATTGGGGGGGAGGGGTGGGGAAGGGGGGTAAAAGAACGGAAGGGGAAGGGTCTGGAGGGGAACAAAATTGGGAGGGGGGGAAAGGGGAGTAGGGAGTCCGAATGGCCAAAGGATGGGGGAAGGGAAAGCAGGGGGGCTGGGAATGAGATTCTATTAATCTTTGAAGAGAGCATCCGTGTTGGCAGGACAGAAAGGGTGCAAAATGAAGGACAAAGGAGCAAAGGAAATTGCCTGATGATGTGGAGAAATATAAATTGAAAAATAAAAGGGGAAACAGCTTTACCCTCATATACCACTGTACATTGTACAGTGGTAACATGTTTCTAGAAAGGGTTTGCCAGTTTCGTCAACTCACGCGGCGACAAGCATCCTCGAAACTTGAGCCACTCGCGAATCTCCTCCAGACGCGTCGCCATACGATCGTCGCCATTGTAGCTATCGTCGCACTCCCTCCCCCCCACCTTGGAGCTAGGGACCCGCTCGTTTCTGTCACCTTCACTCGTTCGAAGACCACCTTCCGAATTGAAGTCGCTCGTTACAATCACAGTCCAGCGCGTGTGAAGGTTCGGACTAACCACCAGAAACGCCAGAAGAGCCTTCACCAAATACACCTGCCCCACTTCCGCCCGCGCTCCCCCAATATCCACCACCTCCAGGGGGCCGTGTGAGCCGCCGCCCGTAACGCTTCCGCCAAAAGCGCGCTTTTTCCCCGTTCCCGCACTTAGCGAGCGCGGCGTAAAGTAGCCGTTACCGCCGCCGCCTCCGCCGCCGCATCCGTCGCTGTCGCTATCAACACTGATGCTTCTGATGCTATTAGCGGTACTAGAAGCACCGTCGATTTCGTCGATTTCGAAGCAGCGGCAGGTTTGCGGGAGGAAGCCGACGTTCCATGGAAGGTTGTGATTATAATGAGAGGGGAGATCGTTCACACCGCGGACCCGCAGCGGATGATGCGGAGGCTCCGCCACCGCCAGCTCCACCTGCACCCACGTGCCGCGCGGAACGGCGCAAACCATGCGGAAAAATTCGCCGCCGTCATCCGCGGGTGGTGCGGAAGCAGCGGAGGAGGCGGCGGAGGAGCTATTAGAAACCGCGGAGCCGCCTGCGTCCGCTGCTGCGCGAAGCGCGGGGAAGAGAGTAACTCTTGCTGAATTCAAGATACTTTTGTCTAATCTCGGCGTTTTACCATCTTGACTTCTATCGAACCCTCTTTGCGCCGTCGTCAACGTGGCGGCATTGGCAGCATCGGCGGCGGCAGAGGCGGCGGCGGAGGAGGAGAGGCGCAGCGGGACCTGGTGCCATGGGGAAAGGGGGACGACGACGAGGTCTTGCGCCGCTGCCGCTGCCGCCGGTGGCGGCGATGGCCGCGGCGAAAGCGGAGAAGCGAACCTCCCGAACTTCGACTTCGAACTACCCTTGGGAGTCTGCGGCGCGGCGAATGGCGGTGCTGCCGCTTCGGAAGCGCTGTTACTATTACCACTAATAGTAGTACTCGGCGGCGGGACGGCGAGTCGCGCCGCGTTCAGGAGGAATTTTCTGTATAAGAGCGACCCGGTAGGGCCAATCTCGACTGCAGCATACTCCATGGCTCAGTGGGCCCGCTTAGTAACTGCCAGTCGACCCAGTCAGTGACCCTGTTTTGAGACGCGTCTAAAAAACGATTAGAAGTTTCTGGTCGTCTATTTCTTAGTGAGGCCAATATACTGCGTACTTCGTGACGCTCTGTCAGAATGGGATCGACTTCGTTGCTCAATCACAAGTTCTAATCATCCATTTCATGGCCCAATGTACGACGCGCGTCAAGAATGTACTCCATGGCCCCATTCGACCCGGTCACCCGCGTTAGCTGATTTCGGTTATCTCGGAATTCGATTCCACAGCTAGCCGAAAAACGTGTCAGCCGTAGTCAACCGACGAAAACGGCCCGCTGCAAATGAGCTGTTCAGGGCGTTTGACAAATGCGGCTCAGGTTAGCTCAAGTTAGCTTAGTTAGCATACCTAGGTGCTTCAATGCTACTCAGTAATCATAGCAGCCGCTGCTATCACCAGCTAAAACAAAGCCTCAGCAGAGCGGAGGCTGTGCATATCAGCAATATCGCAAGAATGAATGCACCAGCAAACAACCAAAAATAAGAGCGGCTGATTTTGGGTTGTTTGAATGCGGCTCAATAGATGTTTCACGTTGTACAACAGACGAATCAATGTTTAGAGTGGTCGGGATGGGTATTGAGCAAAACTGAATGAAAATGAGCCGCCCGTGATGCTCGCGCGCGAGTAGTGAAAGAGGATCAGGGATGGAGGGACAAAAGACGTGTACAGTTGGGTGAAACGGAGTCGACGGATAGAGGGCGTGTGCGTGTGGGTGATGAGGGACCACAGTTGGATAAAGCCAAACGTCGCGATAGAGGCCTCTTTACCGCTCTAGAAACAATTACATCTTACGGAACCGAACCAGTTATCACGAATACAGTTTGTACTCTTGATTTGGGTTCCGACACGATCGGTGCTGTATACTTCGTGTTCGCAACAAAATCAAGCACCTTCGCGGGTAATATTGTCTCAAGCTCGATTTTAACCCCGATTCTTAAAACTCGCCCCCCTGTCATTTGGCCCGGTGGTTTTGAAGAATGGGGTGGTTTGTTATTATTTTATTTTTCGTGATGAGGCAGAAGCTGAGCACAACACTCGCGAAACCCATTCCAGCACCGAGTATGTCTGAGTATGGTGTTGGGGTTTTGAGGTGAGAATCCATTCCGACGCGAATTTCAATCGCCATCCACTACGCTGTGGAGGAGGAGCAGGGGTGAGGGGAGCGGGTGAAAAGTGATAGGAAATATGATCAGAAACGCTGGTATTAAAATCACACAGTTTTCGGTCAGCATTTTAAACTAGCATCCGTCGCTCCTGGTAAGAATCCGTTGCTCTTCGCTTGCTCCCGATTTTCTCCAACGGCAACTCGTGAAATCAAAATCTGGTGCAATTTCTAGTCAGGCAGGCACAGCACAGCTGCAAGTTGTTTCATAGGACCTGTGTGCCAGCAACACACAAGCATGGCAAGCAAGGAAACATCAGACTGGAAAAGCAATGTTTTGATAGTCTCTGTGTACACTTACTCTTACCTTATCTACATAATGGGGAGCGCATGGAAGTTCACGTACTGCCCACAACACAACACAGCACAATAAGGGGGATAAAAAGAAACAGCCCATATTCTATATAGAGCAATTCAACCTAGCCTACGAAGTACATATACAAATATATATGTGTACTCTAACAATACAATCTACAGTAAGCTAGCGACATTGTAACGAGATGACTTCCGAGTCGACTCAAATGTCTTCATGCATTCTCCATGATCGGTCCGTGTCCCATCCCAGTGGAACGCCCTCCGAGTGCTCCAGGGCGACTCTGAGAAGTCAAGACATTTCAAAACCTGCTGGTGCTACCCCTGCTGCTGCTACCCCTGCTGCTGCTACCACTGCTGCTACCACTGCTGCTACCACTGCTGCTACCACTGCTGCTACCCCTGCTGCTGCTACCCCTGCTGCTGCTACCCCTGCTGCTGCTACCCCTGCTGCTGCTACCCCTGCTGCTGCTACCCCTGCTGCTGCTACCCCTGCTTCTGCTACCCCTGCTGCTGCTACCCCTGCTGCTGCTACCTCAGAAGCCTGCTGCTCCTGCTGCCTTCCCTCCCTTGGGAGTGGCACCCCAGCCGGCATACTCAGGGTCATCCTCGGGGTCCTCATGCACCCATAACGCCTGCACGCTCTCCAGGTTCGGCCGGACCACTTCGAACTGCCCTTGCTGCTGCCCCTGCTGCTCTTGCTGCTGTCTCAGAAGCCTCCTGTTGATGCCTTTCCTCCTTTAGGAGTGGCACCCCAGCCGGCATACTCAGGATCATCCTCTGGGTCCTCATGCACCCACGACGCCTGCACACTTTCAAGGTTCGGCCGGGCCATTCTCGCCCGCCTTCTCACTCCCGATGGCAGCCCTCCAGGACCCAGCCCCGTTTGATTTGCTCCGCCTGTTCTCCGCTGTACCTGCTCCCCCTGCTGCTGCTGCTGCTGCTGCTGCCTTTGCTGCTGCTGATCTCCCGTTCGGCCAAGCCTAGCAGGCTGCAGCTTGCGAGGGCTGCTATCATCATCGGATGCAGCAGGGGTGTGAGCAGCCGAACCAGCAGGCGTGTGAATAGCCGAACCTGCAGGCGTGTGAGCAGCCGAACCTACCGGGCTAGGTCCGGGAGAGAGCCACGCGCCGAGCCCAGATGAATGCAGCAGGTTAGACACTGCTGAGAAGGTTTCGGGAAGCTGCGAGAGGGGGTTGGGGAGGTAGGCTGGGACTGCCTCTGTTGATGAAGCAGGAGATGCTGCTGCTGCTGCTGCTGCTGCTGCTGCTGCTGCTGCTGCTGCTGCTGCTGCTTCTGCTTCTGCTGTTGCTGTTGCTGTGGCCGTTGCAGCAGCAGCAGCAGCACCGGTTGCACTGGCATCAGCAGCAGAGGCAGCAGAACTACCAGCAGCATTACCAGCCGCATCAGCAGCAGCATTACCAGCAGCATCAGCATCAGCATCAGCAGTAGCAGCAGAAGCAGACGCAGCAGCAGCCGCAGCATGAGCTTGCGCCGTGCGTTTCCAGCGCATGGCCGCGTTGTGCCTCGCCATTGCCTTTGCTGCTGCCTCTCGGGGGGACTTGGGAACTCCTATGTCCTCTCCTGCTGCAGAGGCACAATCAGGATATTGAGCTTGAGCCATTGCCCATGCTGCAGCCTCTCTCTGTCCGCCTCCCCTCATAGGCACCCCTCGAGGAGACTTGGGGACCCCTGTGTCCCCTCCTGCTGCCCCTCCTCCCCTTGCTGCTCCCCCTGCTGCTCCCTCTGCTGCTGCCCCTACTGCTCCCCCTGCTGCTGCTCTTCTAATGGGCCCCCCTCCTCCCGCTACCGTCATGGCTTTGATGCTTAGACTTGCAGCGCTGAAGCTTTGATGCGTCTCAAAACTGGCTTTGATACTTGGACTTGCAGTGCTGTAGCTTTTACTGAGGAGAATTGGCACCCCTCCCCTTGCTGCTTCCCCTGCTGCTCCCCCTGCTGCTCCCTCTGCTGCTACTCTGCTAAAGGTTCCCCCTCCTCCCGCTACCTTCATGGCTTTGATGCTTGGACTTGCGGTGCTGTAGCTTTTACTGAGGAGAATAGTCACCCCTCGAGGAGAATTGGGGACCCCTGTGTCCCCTCCTGCTGCCCCTCCTCCCCTTGCTGCTCCCCCCCATGCTCCCCCTGCTGCCCCCCCTGCTGCTCCCCCTACTGCCCCCCCTGCTGCTGCTCTTCTAATGCCCCCCCCTCCTCCCACTACCGCCATGGCTTTGATGCTTGGACTTGCGGGATTGAATCTTTGATAAGTCTCATAACTGGCTTTGATGCTTGGACTTGCGGCGCCGTAGCTTTTACTGAGGAGGCCTTGAGTGGGGGGGCCTTGAGTGGGGGGGCCTTGAGTGGGGGGAGTCCAAGTTACAATGTCCCTCCTCCCTCCCCCTCTTGGCGACTTAGGGACCCCTGTTTCCCCCCCTCCTCCCCCCTCTCCTCCTTCCCCTCCTGCTGAAATTTCAATTCTTGTTTTTCCGTAGTTGAAGCTTTTGCTGCGAAGGCCATGAGCGAGGGCGGTCCAAGCCTCGTTGTCCCTCCTGCCCACGCCTCGTGGGGACTTGGGCACCTCTGTGTCTTCTCCTGCTGGCCCCCCTCCTCCTCTAGGGCTGGGGGCTGAGATGCTTGGATTCGAGGAGGTGAATCTGGTGTTGAGAATGCCTAAACTGGGGTCGGTCCAAGGCACGTTGTTCCTCCTGCCCACCCCCCGTGGTGACTTGGGTACCCCTGTGTCCCGGCCTGCTGTCCCCCCTCCTCTTGCTGCTTCCCCTGCTGTCCCCCCTCCTCTTGCTGCTTCCCCTGCCCCCTCTCCTCCTCCTCGAGGGCTAGGGGCTGAGATGCTTGGAGATTTGAAGAGGGTGCTGAGAATGTCGTGACTGGGGTCGGTAAAAGACATGATGTCTCTCCTGCCCACGCCTCTCGGGGACATGGGAACCCCTGTGTCTCCTCCTGCTGCCCCCCCTCCTGCCATTTCCCCTCCTGCCACTCCCCCTCCTGCCATTTCCCCTCCTGCCAATCCCCCTCCTGCCATTTCCCCTCCTGCCACTCCCCCTCCTGCCATTTCCCCTCCTGCCACTCCCCCTCCTGCCATTTCCCCTCCTGCTCTTTCCCCTTCGACACCAGTAGGAGATTTGATACCGGTGGGGGATTTCTTACCGGTGGTTGATTTTTTAGTGCTGGAGGATTTTGTACCAGTGGGGGATTTGATACTTGTGGGGGATTTGATACCGGTGGGGGATTTCTTGGTGGTGGGGGATTTTGTACCGGTGGGTGATTTTTTACCGGTGGGGGGGTTAATACTGGTCATTGATTTCTTACCGGTGGGGGATTTTTTACCTGTGCAGGTTTTCTTGCCGGTGGGGGGTTTCGTATCGGTGGGGGATTGGATACCGGTGGGGGATTGGATACCGGTGGGGGATTGGATACCGGTGGGGGATTGGATACCGGTGGGGGATTGGACACTGAGGGAATAAGATCGGCCACTGAGGCTGGTAGAAATGGCAATGCTTCCCGACGCAAAGCTGGTACTCCTACCCATACCCTTGCCCGCACTCTTGCCCGCACTCTTGCCCGCACTCTTGCCCGCACTCTTGCCCGCACTCTTACTCTCACTCTTACTCACACTCTTACTCACACTCTTGCTCATATCCTTACCCCAAACCATATCCATACTCCAAACAGCGCCCATATCCATGCTCCCACCTCTTCTCCTCCCACCCACGCCCGTGCCTCTGCTGCTACTGCCTCCGCCCATTGCTGCCACTGGACTCACCTCTTCTGTCGCTGCCTTACCTCCATTACCCTCTCCTCCCCTCCTTCCCCTCCCTTCTTGCCCTCTCCCTTTCCCATCCGTCTCCCCTCCTCTCCCTCCCCTCCTCCCTCCTCCATCCGCCTCTCTCTCTCCTCCTCTTCCTTTCACCCTAACCGCGAGCGACACTACTCTAGGTGTCAAATCCCCTCTAGGTGACAAATCCCCTCTAGGTGACAAATCCCCTCTAAGTGACAAAGCCCCTCTAGGTGACAAACCCCCTCTCTCCTCTCTTCCTTCACTTTCCTGCCCTCTCTCCCCCCAACTCCTCCTCTCCCACACACTCAAGCCCTCCTCTCTACGCCCCGTGCTCGCTATCCCTCCTCCTCCCCCTCCCCCCCTCCCGTCCCCTACATCCCACTCACACAAACTCTCCACTCTACCCACTATCCCCATTCCTCTCCCTCCTCTCCCTCCCTCCCTCCCGTCCTCTATATCCCACACACTCAAGCCCTCCTCTCTACGCCCCCTGTTCGCTATCCCCCCTCCTCTCCCTCCCTCCCTCCCGTCCCCCATATCCCACTCAATCAAGCTCTCTACCCTGCTCGCTATCCCCACTCCTCTCCCTCCCTCCCTGCCGTTCCCCATATCCCACTGACCCAAGTCCTTAGACTTGCGATTGGTTCCCGTCCCCATATCCCACTGACCCAAGTCAAACTCAAAGCCAGAAAACGACAGGCATTGCCTGTGTCCAGGTCCAAGCCTACCAGTGCCCCTCCCACCTGAATTTTCACCTGCTGGATTCCCATCACCTGAAACCCTACCACCACCACGACCACCACCAACAGCAGCAGCAGCAGCAGCAACAGCAGCAGCAGCAGCATGAGCAGTAGCAGTATGAGCAGAATGAGCAGTATGAGCAGAATGAGTGGCTACTAAAACCCCAGTGTTTCCCCTTGGGATGGCAAGCCGTGCTTGTTGGACCCACGCTCCCACTTCTAGTCCCCCCACCTTTTGCTGTACAGCCCCCTCCTGCCCATCCTTTGGCCCCCCACCCGTCCTCCTCTCTTCCTGTCCAGGTGCATCGAACCTGACCTCTTTTGGTTGCGCCTCAGGCATCCTCTGTCCAGATACACCGAACCTGGACTCTTGTGGCTGTGCCTCGAAATGCGTCTGTCCAGGTGCTATCAAGCCAAAGTCAAAATTGGAAAACGACTGGCACTTCCTGTGCCTGAGGCTACCAGCACCACCCCCACCTGATTTTTTACCTGCTGAGCTCCCACCACCTGAAGTCCGAGCAGCAGCAGCAGCAGCAGCGGCGGCGGCAGGAGAAGCAGCAGCCACAGAGCCCCCGGTGTTTGCCTTTGGGATGGCAAGCCGTGCTTGCCTGGCCCACGCCCCCTCTTCTTGTCCCACGCTTTCTTTCCATACAGCCCCCTCCTGCCTATCCTTTGCCCCCCCACCCGTCCTCCTCCTCTCTTCCTGTCCAGGTGCATTGAACCTGGCCTCTTGTGACTGTGCCTCGAAAGCCGTCTGTCCAGGTGCAATCAAGCCAAAGTCAAAATTGGAAAACGACTGGCACTTCCTGTGCCTGGGGCTACCAGCGCCTCCCCCACCTGCTAAATTCCCACCACCTGAAGCCCGAGCAGCAGCAGCGGCAGCAGCAGCAGCAGCAGCAGCGGCGGCGGCGGCGGCAGGAGCAGCAGCAGCAGCCACAGAACCCCCAGTGTTTGCCTTTGGAATGGAAAGCCGTGCTTGCCTGGCCCACGCTCCCTCTTCTCGTCCCACCCTTTTCTGCTGTACTTTCCTGTTTCGTCCCGAATTCTCCCTGCCACCAGTCTTCCCTCCCGCTTCCTGCCCAGATACATTGAACCTGGACTCTTTCGGCCGATCCTCAAGAAGCGTCTGTCCAGGTGCAATCAAACCAAAGTCAAAATTGGAAAACGACTGGCACTTCCTGTGCCTGAGGCTACCAGCGCCCCCCCCACCTGCTAAACTCCCACCACCTGAAGCCCGAGCAGCAGCAGCAGCGGCGGCGGCGGCAGCAGGAGCAGCAGCAGCCACAGAACCCCCAGTGTTTGCCTTTGGGATGGCAAACCGTGCTTTGCTGGCCCGCACACCCTCTTCTCGTCCCGCGCCCTTTTTCTGTGCTGCCCCGTTTCGCCGCGAATTCCCTCCCGCTTCCTGCCCAGCTACATTGAACCTGGACTCTTTCGGCCGATCCTCAAGAACTGTCGGTGCAATCAAGCCAAAGTCAAAGCCGGAAAAAGATTTGCACTGCCTGTGCCTGGGCCTACCACTGCCCCCCCCACCTGAAGATTCACCTGCTGAAACCCCACCATGTGAAAAACCACCTGAAACAGCAGCAGAATCCCCTGACACCCCAGTTTTTCCCTTTCGGATGGTAAACGGTACACCCTTCTCCGGCCCCTCTGAGAAGAGGGAGATGGGGCAGCCGGAGGGGAACAGCGCCACAGGACTAGTGATAACAGTAGATTCCTCCTCCTCCTCTTCCTCATCCTCCTCCTCCTCTTCCTCGTCCTCCTCCTCCTCTTCCTCGTCCTCCTCCTCCTCTTGATCATCCTCATCCTCCTCTTCCTCATCCTCCTCCTCCTCTTCCTTCTCCTCCTCCTCTTCCTCTTTGTTCTTCCTCGGAGTAAGCACAGGAGAGCGGGAAAGGGCCACAGTGGTTGCTACAGGCGTGGCAATTGGAGTCAACTCATCCCCACCATCCTCCTCCTCCTCCTCATCCTCCTCCCCATCCCCATCATCCTCCTCATCCCCATCATCCTCCTCCTCATCCTCATCCTCATCACCCTCCTCATCCTCATCATCCTCCTCCTCTTTGCCCTCCCCTTTGCCCTTTTCTTCCACTCCTTTTCTACCCCGCAGATTCTGAACTTCCTCCTCTCGTCCCTCCTCTCTTCCTTTCTCTCTTCCTTTCTCTCTTCCTTTCTCTCTCCCGACCCTGAACCAGTTCGAATCTGGACTCACCAACTCCAATTCACTCCCTTCCTCCTCACCCCTTTCATCCTCGCTAAGAACCTCCTCATTGTCACCACAACTACCTCCCGTCACTCCCTTCACAACACCAACATCAGAATAACTTGTGGGTATCTCCAATCCCAAGCTCATCCCAACTCCTACACCCCTCCCAGTCCCACGCACACCCAACTCTTGCCCACCCATACTTGTAGTACGAGACATGTTGAGAGCCATGGCACTCCCATCCAACCCCACTCCAGACGACTTTAGAGGCGCCTCAAAAGTCCTCCCAGTCCCACGCACACCCAACTCTTGTCCACCCATGCTTGTCGTACGAGACATCTTAGAACCCTTCCCACTCTCACTCGCCCCTACCGCTTGCCCACCCATGCTTGTCCTACGAGACATCTTAAGAGTCATCGCACTCCCATCCAACCCCACCTCAGAACCCACCCCACTCCCATCCATACTCAGCTTTCGTCTGCCCGTCCTTGCCTTTTGAAACAGGGACTCGCGATTGCTGCTTCTGCTCTTCTTGCTGCTAATACGACTGCTGCTGCTAAAATTGCAGGTGACGTTATTGCTGCTGCTAGGATTTCCGCTGCTGCTAGAATTGCTGATGCCGCTGGCGCTGCTGCTGGTGCCACCAGTGCTGCTGCGTACGGGGGTGGTGATGAAGGGAGGGTTTTTTGGCTGACTGCCGGTGGTGTGTCGTCTGTTTGGTTCTGGTATCATGGCAGCATCATCATCATCAGCAGCAGCAGCAGCAGCAGCAGCAGCAGCAGCAGCAGCACAGAAAGCAGCAGCAGCAGTAGCAGCAGCAGTAGCAGCAGCGGCAGGAGGAGGAGGAAGAGGAGGAAGAGGGGCAGGAGAGGGGGAAGAGCCAATGGAAAAAATGGAAGGAGCACGAGCAGGCAACGAGCGGCTGGGATGCAACGCTGACTTTGCAGTTTCAGATGGACGGTCAGATGCCTGTTGACGGTCGCTCTGCGAGCAATCCTGGTCGCTCTCCCCCCCTCCTCCCTCCCCACTCTCTCCCCTTCCTCCTGTACGCGTTTCAGAACGCTCCTGTTCCAGATAGGACGTCTTATCAACAGTCATAATCTCATCAGCCATGCTGATGCTTTCAGTGTCACTAACGGAGCTGCTGCTACTGGCCTCTGCCGTGGGAGGGGATGGAGGGAAGGGTTGCTGTTGTCGAAAGCGAGGAGAACGGCGGAGAGTGTAGGGGTGAGGGGAGGCGCGAGGGGAGGCGAGAGGGGAGGAGAAAGGGGAGGAGAAGGGAGAGGAGAGGGGAGGGAAGCAGGAGACGGTAAGTGAGGAAGAGGTAGGGAAAGTGGTACTTTTCTTGGGAAATGAGGGTTTGCGAATGAGAGGCGATCGCCTCAATTCCTTGCCTCTGCTGCTGCTGCTGCTGCTGCTGCTGCTGCTGCTGCATTTGCCTAGCTGGTTCATATTCCCCTCATCGTTCTCCTCTCTCACTCTCTCCTCGGCCACTCCCTCCTCTCTCACTCCCTCCTCTCTCACTCCCTCCGTGAATTGCTCCTCTCTATATGAGCCATCCTCCTCATACACACCATTGTCAACCTTATCACCATCACCATCACCATCACCACCACCACCACCATCACCATCAGCATCACCACCATCACCAGAGGTTTTGCCAGTCCGCTTTGTCCCCTTTTTTAGCAGCTTCTTTAACATCCCTTTCTTTACCTTCCCCTCAACATTGGATTTACTCTTGACAATTCTCTTCACCTTTTTGTCTCCTTCTCTCCTTCCACTCCTCCCACCTTGCCCCTCCTCCCCCATTTCCTCCCCAACTTCATCCTTCCTCCTCTCCCTCCTCGTACTTCCTGCCCTCGCCTCCTTCTCCCTTTCCCCCTTCCCCTCCTTCTTCGTTTCCCCCTTCCCCTCCTTCTCCCTTTCCCCCTTCCCCTCCTTCCTTTCCCCCTTTCCCTCCTTCCTTTCCCCCTTCCCCTCCTCCTTCTCCGTGCTGCCGCTGCCACGAATTTTGAAAGGAAACTTGCCCCTTTTCACCCCAGAACTACTCGAAACAAGCACTTTCCCCTTCTCCATCTCTCCTCCTCCCACTTCCTCCTCTCCCTCCTCTTCCTTTCCTCTAAGTGTTTTACTTACCAGCCCCAACCCCCGTCCTAAACCGCTCTTTTTAATCTTGGACTTACTCGGTTGCGGCGATCCGTACCTTCCGGAAGGATCCGATCCGTTATAAGCAGATTCAGTACCGTTTTGTGGTGACACTGACCCATCGAAAGCCATCTCTAGCCATACAGGGGAGGATGAGGATCGAGTGTGATCAACACGAGATGGTTTGCTTCCTTTAGCTTTTCCCTTCTTCCCTTCTCCTCCCTTCTTCCCTCCTCCCTTTTTCCCTCCTCCTCCTACTACTCCTTCTCCCTCCTCACTCACACCAGCAGCAGCCAATGCAGCAGCAGCAGCGCCAGGCAGTAAAGTCCCAGACGCCTTTCTAACTATCTCCTGTGCCCCGCATGGCTCGGAAAGTGGGACGCAGACCACACTGCTGCCTGCCACGTGGCACTCCACAGTGCCGCCACGTGTGCAGTCCACCGATTCCCGCAGCTGGCTTAGAAGCATTTCATCTTGCTGGTTGGGGTCCGCTAACTGCTTCTGCTGCTGCTGCTGCTGCTGCTGCTGCTGCTGCTGCTGCTGCTGCTGCTGCTGCTGCTGCTGCTGCTGCTGCTGAGGTGGCATGAAGGCAGACCCATGGGCATCTTTCCAGGCGGCATGTGCACCGTTGATAACGGAAATCGTACGGCTGAGAGGCACGGGTTTCTCCCGTGAGGAAATGGAGCAAGGAAGGTCCACTGGGTCGAACAGGGAGGGGGAGGGGGAGGGGGAAGGGAATGAAAAAAGAAAATTGGGGAAGGAGGGGGAGAGAGGAGGGAGTCGGAACGGCCGGGTGATGGGGGAAGGCAAAGGAGGGGGTTGGAATTGGGATTTGAAGGGCTTTTTAAGCGAGCATTGGTGTTGACAGGAGAAAAACGTACAATGATGAAGGAAAAAGAGCAAAGGAGGTTGACTGGTGTTTGTGGAGAAATGTACACTAGAGTTATAGCATTCTTATTTGATCGACCACTGTAGTAATTTATAAGTACTACTCAGATCTGGTCAACTCACGCGGTGACAAGCATCCTCGAAACTTGAGCCACTCGCGAATCTCCTCCAGACACGTCGACATGCGATCGTCGCGATAGTCGCCATCGTCGCCATCATCGCCATCGTTGGCTTTCCTCCACCCCACCTTGGGGTTTGCGTCCCGCTCGTTTCTATCACCTTCACTCGTTCCACAACCACCTTCCGAATCAACGTCGCTCGTTACAATCACAGTCCAGTGCGTATCAAGGTTCGGGCTAACTACTAGAAACGCAAACAGAGCCTTCACCAGATACACCTGCCCCACTTCCGCCCGCGCTCCCCCAATATCCACCACCTCCAGGGGACCGTGTGCGCCTCCGCCTGTAACGCTTCCGCCAAACGAGCGCCGCTTTTCCGCCGTTCCCGCCGCACTTAGCGAGCGCGGCGTGAAGAAGCCGCCGTCACCGTCGCTATCAGCACTGATAGTACTACTACTAGTAGCGTTACTTGTAGTACCGTCGAGTTGGTCAATATCGAAGCAGCAGCAAGTTTGCGGGAGGAAGCCGACGTTCCACTGAAGGTTGTGATTATAATGAGAGGGAAGGTCGTTCACTCCGCGCACCCGCAGCGGATGGTGCGGAGACTCCCCCACCGCCAGCTCTACCTGCGCCCACGTGCCGCGCGGAACGGCGCAAACCATGCGGAAGAATTCGCCGCCGCCGCCGCCAGTGCCGTCACCCGGGGGTGGTTCCGCGGGGCCCGCGGAGGAAGCAGCGGAGGAGGCGGCGGAGGAGCTACCACTAGTAACCGCGGCCCCTGCAGCCGCTGCCGCGCGAAGCGCGGGGAAGAGTGTAACTTTGGCCGAATTCAAAATGGTTTTGTCCAAGCCCTCTAATCTACCACCGGACGCTAATCCTGTTCCCGTCGTCGCTGACGCGGCGGCATGGGAGGCGGCGGCGGCGGCGGCGGCGGCGGCGGCGGCGGAGGCGGAAAGGTGCAGCGGGACCTGGTGCCATGGGGAAAGGGGGACGACGACGAGGTCTTGCGCCACTGCCGCTGCCGGCGCCGACGGCGAAAGCGGAGACGCGAACCTTCCGCGCTTCGTCTTCGCCTTGGGAGTCTGCGGCGCGGCGAATGGCGGTGCAACCGAAGCGCTGTCACTAGGGTCTGGCGGCGCGACGGCGAGTCGCGCCGCGTCCAGGAGGAATTTTCTGTATAAGAGCGACCCAGGTGGACCGATTTCAACCGCAGCGTACTCCATGCGGTGGACTGCAAGTCGAACCAACGTGTCAATGCGGCCGCGGCTTAGCTGCCAGCTTCTTGGTCGTTTTGAGGCGCCTCAAACAGCAGTCGCTCTTCTTTGGTCGTCTGTTTCTGCTTCTGCTTCAATTAAAGGTCTGATCATCTATCCCTGAAGGGACCTGACGTTTGCCGTTTTTAGTTGTCTCGGAATCAGGTTTCAAATCTATTTCAAAACGTGTCAGCCATGTCAAATTCAGGTGGACCGAAGTCAACTGTTGCGTAATTCTCGACGAAAACAGCTCGCTGCCATGAGCGGCTCTGGGCGTTGAACGAATGCGGGTCACTAGAGTTTAGCACAACTGGGTGCTTTCAATTTTACTCAGAAATCAAAAGCCAACGCTGCTAACACCAGCTAAAACAGAGCCAAGAGAGTGCAAGCGAGAGGCTGGCAAGAGAGTGCAAGCGAGTTAACATGATCAGCGATCACGTAAACGAATTCGCAAGAAAATGAAGCACCAACTAATAAGCTCAGATGATGTGCGAATGTGGGGCGCGGCTGCAAGCTCTCCTGATTCAGCTGCTGGAGCAAGGGTGCCGCAGCTGGTGCAGCCTTGACGAAAGTGATGAGCTCTCACAGCTGGCTCTAGTGGTTGAGGATCTAGTACACCCTCTTTCTCAACCTTTTCACCTTGCGCGACTCGTCGCTACAGTACTTGTCTCATGCGATCTGGTGCCAATAAACGTTCCTAGGCAACCTGGGGGGAAAGCCGGACCACGTGACAAACTGGCTCAAGGACGTAAAATCTCCGTAATCGCTTCATAACTTTCCCAAACAGATGAAAACGTTGACAACGCTTTTTGTAAAGTGCATAACCTTACCTAACCGCATTCTTCGCATTGTGCTTGTACAGTAGGTGACAAGACCATTCTGAACGTGGTGACGTTCTACAATCCATGTACGCTCTCCAACCAGGTGCTCTACTAGCGCGAAAGAGGGTGTAAACAAATTCGCAAGAATTCTTGTTTCTCGTGAGTGATGAATGGGGCACGACTCACGAGAAACAAGATGCTTCTGTCGAGAGAGGACGTCAAGCCAGCCAGACATCATGCAAGAGAGAGATCAAGAGAGCATGTGTAGCCAAGGAATGGAGGGACTCCAGTTAGATAAAGCCAAGCGTACGCAATTGCACCAGACTGCACAGTGTGAACCATCTCTTAACCGCTCTAGATTGCAGCATATCTCACGGAACCGAACCAAAAAAAACGTTTGGAGCATGTGTGCAGGGATTGTGTTTTAGGACTAACAGCTGGACACCAATGAATTCACGTCCCCATACGCTTTTCAGAGACGTTCCACGCCATTTCAGGCTCGATCAGCTGGACACCCAGAAGATCTGGTCTATGAGCAAGCCTCATGCTCGATCTAGAATAACTCACACATGCGAGTCTGATATGATAACCGCTGGTATGGGCCTATTCTTTCGCTGCAAATCTCTTCGCGCCACCCAACTCGTCCATGGAGTCCGGAACACAGCCCTCGGTCATAGATAATGCAAGAGTAATTACTCCTTTCTACATAGTGTGCACAAACGAGGAATTGAATCTATCGGTGGTCAGGTGAACAGCGGGAGAGAGAACTGTACGTGCCAGAACTTGCATTTCATTTCATTGCATCGCTTTCCACAGCTGGAAAACGTTTTCTTTTAGTCATGTCCAAAAGCTGCTGCACAGTCCATGCAAGCGTCCATCAAGCGGGCTAGGTTCCAGGCTCTGCGTCCACCATGACCCCAAACCCAACAGCTATGGATCCGTCAACCCCATACAGTACGTGCAGTTGAGGCATGTTGAACTACATGGGGCAGGGATGACTAGGGGCGTGTAAAATCTCCTAACAATTGAGAATTTGTGTTATGGCTGTTTTTCGACATTTCTTTTTTCGCAAAAGCCGAAGGATTGGTCGACAGATTTGGTGTTTTTTAAAACTTGACAGTTTTGGTGGTCGTTTTGCAGGCCGCTGTTCGACCTTGTAAAATCTGCAGTAGCTGCATTAGCCGGATATGTGCGTCAGGTTTGCAAAGTTGATGGCGATATTTCTCATTGGGGCGAAGCCGCAATAGGTTCACACCTTCTGACGTTCTACGATACCGTGCGTCGCCGCAGGTGAATGTTGCCCACCCCGTCGACTACGTGGTCGGATTGGAGTCGACACGGTGTCGGATACGTGTAGACTAATCCAACCGGCCATCCAATTCGAACGACATTGCCGAATTTAGTGGTCGTTGCTCTTTTATCAACAATCGTCGTTAACTGGTTACTTTCGCCAAAAACGTGTTAGAATGAGAATGAATGAATGACTGAACTAGAAAACAGGTGGGTACAAGTAGCAAACCTAAAAGTGTTGTACCCTATAAGGACTACCCCACTACAGCCTAAACAGACTATAGCATATAAGTTTGACACACCCCCATAGGCAAAGTGGGGGAGAACAAGAGGTCATAAGACCAGTCAAGGAAGGCAAAGCAAGCTCAGGGTGGATCACAAAGTCACCACGCAGTCTGAGCACAAACAAAGGGCCACAAGGCCAGTTCACATGCAGAGTTATATAAAGGAAAACAAACAATACAGTGAACAAAAACTAGCAAGTGTACGCATGCAGGTATAAGTATATAGAGTACAGGACAAGCAGAGTCAAGAAGAAAGTAAGTGAGGCACAGTAGGTACAAGGCCTAACACAGTACAGAAACGCTGATGATCACAAGGCTGAAGTGCCTTGGTGAAAACATCAGCAGTGTTGGCCTGAGAGGCCACGTAAGCAAGACGAAGCTGGCCACGCTGCTGCAACTCTCGAGCAAGGAAGTAGCGCAGAGCAATGTGCTTCGTTCTGTGCTCCAGTCTATGCTCCTGACACAAGGCCAGCATGGCCTTGTTGTCGACGTACAGAACTGGAGGAGAACGAGGCGCCTCTCCCAAGTCCGTCAGCAGGTAGGTGAGCCGGCGTAACTCCTGTGCAGCCATGGCCCCAGCGTAGATCTCAGCCTCACAACTGGAGCTGAGAATAGAAGAAGAGCGGGTAGACCGCCAAGAGACAGAACCGGAGCCAAGACTGAAGGTGTAACCCTGTGACTACCGCTGCGTAGCCAAGTCGTCAACCCAGGAGGCGTCAGCGTGACCAGTGAGGACAACTCGAGCCCGTCCTCCAAGCACGAGCCCCATGCCCGATGTACTGCACAAGTATCGCAACACCCTCTTCGCAGCATCCCAGTGCACCTTTCGATGCCTGCCGGGAGCCACGTAGCGAGCCAGAAGGCTGAGAGGGTATGCGAGGTCAGGTCGTGTGCAAGTCATCAGGTACATGAGGCAGCCCACAAGCTCTGGATACGGGCCACTCGGCTCTACGGACTCGTCCGAAGGTGGAGCTGAGAGCGAGTGACCGGTAGGCAGAGGAGTGGACTGTGGCGAGGAGTACGTGAAACCGAAGCGCTGAAGGACCTGCTGCACCATGTGTGACTGAGTCAAGGTAATGGTGCACTGTGCTCTGTCCCGGGTGATCCGCAAGCCAAGATAGCTTGTCAGCTCACCCAGGTCTGTGCACGTGTGTCTCTTCTGCAGCTCGGACTTCACGTGGGCGAGTGCCTCAGTGTCAGCAGTAGCAAAGACGAGGTCGTCTACGTACACAAGAACGTAGAACGGCGGCAGAGTAGAGTCAGTGCGTAGAACCAGAGAAGGGTCAGCAGTGGAAGGAGCAAAACCAAGAGAAGCAAGAGTCGTCCTGAGTGTGTCGTGCCACTCACGGGGTGCCTGGCGGAGACCGTAGACTGGCCGCCGGAGGCTCCACTGGGTACCAGCAGGAAACGACCCAGTGAAGCCAGGTGGGCGGCGCAGCCAGATCTCCTCGTGCAGGCTGCCCTGTAGGAAGGCTGTGCTGAAGTCAAGCGAGTGGAGCTCGTAGTCACGCTGAGCAGCAACGTGCAGCAGAACCCGAAGAGTGGTCATCTTCGGGGTAGGGGAGAAGGTCTGAAAGAAGTCAACTCCCTGTCGCTGACTGAAGCCACGTGCGACGTAACGCGCCTTGAAGGCAGGCGGAGAACCCGGCGGCCGCTTCACTCTGAAGATCCACATGCCACTGACGATGTTCGCCCCAGGTGGGGGAACCTCGTCTACGTAGGTGCATGTGGACTTCCAGGAAGCCATCTCTGCATCCATGGCTGCCTGCCACTGAGAGGAGTAGGGACCCTCTATCGCCTCTGCGTAAGAGCGCGGGGTCGGGATGTCTAGTGCATCCGGGTCTCCCTCAGGGGCCAGCAGCATGGACACGAGATGAGGTACAGAAGCAGCAAAGCACTCAAACTCCTCCTGTCTGTCCTCAAGAACGTCCGTGCCAAGAGCACACTTACCCCCGACGAACGGAGGACAGACAGACACAGACTCAGACTCAGCAACAAGACTAGCGGTGTAGTCTAGGCGACAGACTGCAGCAAAATCAACGAGCTCAGCAACAAGAGCAGACGCAGCAGAGGACTCAAACAGAGGGTCAGTGACAGCAGTGGCCAGAAAGCGCGTGACAGTAGGACTAGCAGCACGAAGGGAGTCAGACTCCGGGTCCGGACCGTCAGGAAGAGAGGACGCAGGAGGAGAGGGCAGAGGGACACGCTGTGGAGCAGTGGAAGGACGCAGTGTCATAGAGTGAGTGCCAGGGACAGGAGGATGACGCGGACGCAAAACACGACCAGCGCGAGCAGTGCGGATAGGCGACACAGCACGAGACACAGGCGACACAGGACGCGACTCAGGCTCACGACGCTGCGTAAGACCTCTAGTCGGTCCAGAGTAAGGAGAAGGACCGGGCAGTGGAGAGGTCGGATGCAACTGCGACTGGGACTGGATAGGCGGCGGACTAGGGAAAGGAGGAGGAGGACCAGGAGAAGGCGGGGAGCCAAGAACCTGCTGAAGGAGCGGAACGTAGTACGGCCGCGGCCGCGCAGCGCCTCGAGAAACAGCAGAGACAGAACCGGTACCCTC